TCACCTCAAGGGCTCATCGCCTAGTCCACAGCGGACCAACCACCCCAACCACCAGTCTCATCGGCAATAAAGCTTTACGATTCGATGGGATGATCTCACCTGCACAGACCAGACCGCCCCGCCCGGATGCCAGGCATGTATGTGCCCTGCAGGCTTGCCAATTGGCGCCCACACGAATCCGACATGTCATTAGGCTTGTGTCTGTTATTTCCTTCTCATCTTGCCTACAGTACCAGCACGGGTACTTCGTAGTACGAGTGCCAATGCCACTGCTAAATCTAGCACTCAGTACGAGTATGTACGAGTACATGTAGGACTCTGGCCTGTGCTGAGTACCTGGTAGGCGCAGGGTTGGGGGACCCATGCCCATACAAAGCACCATAGGTACAGCACAGTACGATACAGTCGCTGCTCTCCAACAGCATCTCGTCATTGATGCCACAAACAGTGATAGGCCTGCTTTTCTCGGAAATTGGTCGCAAACGACGCTGCTCCTCGCAATGTATCGATTCCATGAGCTTCAAAGACTCTTGGCCTCTTACATGGCGCCGACCCTAACTTGCTGGAACATGCATGGTATCCAATACGCATTGAGTAAGACCCGGCACACCCTACCGTGTCTATCTAGGTACGGAGCACTCATATTATATATACAAGGGCATCTATAAAAAAACGAGGCGTATACAGGTATTCAACGGCATCCTTAATTGGACACTTCATCCATGACTTAATTTCAAGACAACACGCCACTCCACCTCAGGCCGCTCTTTTCAGACCTGCCAGTATGATACTCGCTAGCGATATGTGTGTATGCGCTGGCCGCAGATTGCATGCTAAGGTACTGTATTCACAGTTACTAAGATGGATCACTGGACCTCTCTGTGCCCAATGGATAAGACGCTTCCCGTCTCTGCGGATGCCTTAGACATGATTGGCTCTCACGACGAAGCTCAGGGCGGCTAGCAGTGCCCATGTACATATCACACATGCACGACCGACAACTAGTTTCCACACCCGTCCCTGACTCCCGGGCCCTGCTATGGCCTGGACGCGGGGGACTCAAATCCCAAACCTGGGTGCCGAGACACGTTCCCCCGAGGCCCATTATGCGGCCTTCCCTCGTTACGCAGGATACATACATGCAACTTGGACACATGCGCGGTGACACTCTACACAGACGGACCCGGTTCTGTGGTTTTTGCCAGTGGGATGCGATTATCTAATGTGCTTTTCGCCCGCTTGGGAAAACTGTTGGAGAAAACTTCCGGGGGCAAGACGCACCTGGACGCATTGGGGGATGATTACATTCATTCGCCTGTGCCCGTCCTATCACTGCGTGACGACTAAATATTTGGGGATACTGTGGATGCCCTTTGAAGCTCATGACACAAAAACACCATCGGCGAACAACTCACGCGGGGACCCACCACGTCGAGCAGAAATTGGGGGAGGAGGAGTGTGCAAAGTACGAATGAAGGAGAGGTCCTGTCATCTTGCTGCATCTCAAGACCACTTTTACAAGATGGGAGCCATCAACAGTCCTTCAGGCAGGTGTGGGCAACCGGACCCTTGAACGCCAGCCAAATGCTAGCGCCTAAAAGGGTCTTTTCCTGTTCAATCTGGGACAGCAATCTTGCTCTAATCAAGACTACTTGCTGCCAAGTGGCACTTGATGTCTCAACACGGCCGTGATGGGACCTTGGTAGTATTATTAGCGCACTTGCTCGTATTCCCTCTCAGCTACCATTCTGAAGCAGTCATGCGCAAAGTGTCAAGCAATAACCTTCCGGAATACCAGGGCAGGTCCCTCATCTAGTGGCACAGCGAAGCCTTCTGGGGCGCTAGTTGTGTTTAATCTGCCTCGTCAATTTAAGAAGAAATGAGACGAGAAATGAGGTTGACCGGGATAGCAGACAAGCGGAGCTTCTGTCACAGCTCTACTTCTACTAGTAGTAGCATGAATCGATGGCTTGCATCATCACCCGGCACCGAGGCCACCATCATGACCAAGCGCCCATTCGAGCCGCTCATTTCTGGATCCGTTCTTGTGTAGGGATCGGGCATCGTTCGAGCTTTCCCATGGCAACCTGACACCATCATCACAACGACGAGCACTAAAGCACACCATCACGACACTAGCATGGGCGAGGCGAGTGCGGAGTGCTTTCATACCAGAAGAAAAAAAATCGCAGGCCCTCCCAGCTGCCTCCGCTCAGAGTAATGGGATAATAGCTAATAGCGGGAGCGCTTTGTGCCCGAAGCTGGGCAATCAACGAGCCGACGCGGACCGTCCGAATCCCAGCTCGGCTGCACAGACGCCTTGCTTCTTGTCAAACTAGCAGATCTCAAAGGTGCATGGTGCATGTGTGAGATGTGAGATTTGTCGAGATCAAACACAGGCATCCGGCACAAGCAATGCAGTCCGGTGCAGTGTTCGTCTCCTCTTTATATTGGTGTCCACACTACTCGTACGGTACCTATGTATGGCACGGCGTCAACCATCGCGGAGCTTCACAGCGAGTCGCAGCTACAGCACAGCGGGAGACAGTTTTGCACGACGCCAGCTCAAGCATTCAGAAACAAACTTTTGCCTTCGGGCCGTCCCTAGCTCTATCAGGCTGTGAACTCTCGACAATTTTCTTTGATAGCGGCGCAGGTCCTGAACGGCGCGTATTCCTGCGTCTATCCGCTGTTGCTGTGTAAGCTCCGTCCCAAGAAGCGGTGGCCAGCGGCGGGTGCATCTAGTCGGCGCCGCATTGCGACTGAGAGCACACACCGTCGTCTTTAGTTTTGCTTTTTCCTCTTTGCTTTTTTTTCCCTTTTTTTTTTTTTTTTTTTTTTTTTTTTTTTTTTTGCTTTTTTTGCTTTTTGCTTTTCGCGGATGCGCTATTCTGCGGGCTGCTTTTTGCGCCTAGTTGGGGCTGAGAAATTGCGAGCCAGTTTGTGAGAGCGGCAGCGGCTCGCAGCCCCCGGTGCTTGAGACCGGAAAAGAAGATCTTTCTCAGCCCATGCCCAAACAACCAAAAAAAAAAGAAAGTACAGGTACCGACCAGGGAACCAGACGGGTACAGAGCACTAGCACGAGTACAGTACATGCGACAACGTCCCTGTACGAGTACCCAGTCCTTTGTGGACACATCAGATGGGGAAGGGCCCAGATGACGCGACAAGTTCTCCGTACTGTATGTATCTATGGCATGCATTGCATGCAGACTAAGCTCGACAACCGGTCCCTGCAAACCACCGTGGTCTACAGGTCCTGACTCCATCCGCCTACCCGGTTCATGCAGCGCTTTACGGTGGGCCTATCAGTTCTTCTTCTCGAGCCCCATAGCCGTACATGCTTCCGCAGCGGTTGTGGAAGGGTGCTGGGGGCTGGGCCAGTCAGCTAGACCGGTTGTTCTCCGATGGCATCGGCCGACAGAGCGCAGGGATGGTCAAGGGCTCAAGGGCTACTTGTCCTGGCGCTGGCATCGTGGTGACCCTAACGGTCGTATGCAATGGAACGTGTATACTTGTGTTGGAACGGCCAGGACGAGTCACGAGATCCCTGCGTGGAGCGAGTGATCGCTTAAGATTGACAACAATACGAAGGAATCCAAGCATGTGCAAGTATACTCGAAAGTCGCAAAGGGAGTGATGCTACTACTGCTAGTACCATACTGTTGGTGGGAGGTAGGATCCATGGATGCGTATATCGGCCCCGCAAGCCCTGCTGCATGCAACTACAGGTACGAGATCAACGTGGCGAACGCCTAGCGGTTGAATTTGCGTGACGCCCGCCTCACTCTGTTTTCTGTTGCCAACAGCGCACTGGAGGCTTGCTGCCCGACTTCCAACGGAGATGAGCCAAGCAACGAACTCATGATCGGAAGTCATGATGGGCGATGCACATTGTCTCGGGCTGCAATGTCTGTGTTGTACTCGGTGCGCACTTGATCAGGCGGCAATAAGGGGTATGGAGGTACCAGTTGGTTCTGAGCAACACGGCCAACCTCGCCATTTTCCTTGGTTACTTCCTCGATGCAACATTGCTCCTTGCCACTGCATCTATTTCTCAGGGGTCCCAACGGAGCGTATCATGGCAAGGGGACGCCGTCCAGGTACGAATACATATCCAAACGTAGGTACTCCGTAGACGACAACGATTGGCAATGTCCGGTTGGCTCTGGGTATCAGTGAAATGCGAGCAGCCACCGCTTATCCGCATCAGTTGGAAGCCACGTGAAATGCCACTGACTGACGGGCATCGATGCTAATGTGATTCGTCATGTCGGACAAATTCCCGCTGGGAGGTTTGCCATGCACAGTAACGGAGCTGCCATGATCCTACGCTGCATGGTCTGATCATAAAGGGGCGCTCTTGGCGATTAAGACGCAAATGTAGGAGCAAATCTGCCCACTCCATTAGTGAGGAGTCCTGCGAGTATCGCATTTCGGAGCATGCGGGGTCTAGGCTGCCTCTGCCGGATGTATGTTCGACTTTGTGTTTACCTCCAAATAGACTGTGAGTGGGATGATGGAGTGTTTCGCCGGTCTTATAACACATTATCGCGGGGTTCGGCGTGTGGCTAAGGTCCTCACTCGTATGAGTCCTCGCCATAGAGAAGTCTGAGAGGCAGTATTCGAACAAGAACAGATTCAGCCAGGCCCAAGAAGACGTAGAAATCAAGGCCAAACCCATAGTAGCTATACATGAACAACAAGAGCATTTGCTTTAACTGGCCTTGCGCTCGTAGCACTTGATCCCGGGTAAGCCCAAAAAGACGGCCTCGCGATACCGTCCCAACCTTCCGGGTATTACTCCGTAAAAACTCCACATTATCTCCTACCCCGCCATTGCTCCTCAGAGAAACTCCGTGATCGCTGGGGCCCCGAATATAAGGGTATAGAGTAGTAACTCGTTTCTTGAAAGATTTAAGAAATTCAAACAACATCCACAAATCCATCTCTTCTCTCAAGTTTCTAGCGCTCTGGGTGGCGTGGCAGATAACTGAATCATGGCATCTCAACAGTGGAAAGTGGACGAGCCCTGGCTTGACCTTAAATGCGCACTCGGTGAAGGACCATTCTATGAAAAGGAGACCAACTCACTGCGTCTTGTTGACATCAAGAAGAAGCATGTACACACCGTTTCTATAAGCGACAACGGAGATGGGTCCTCTCTAAAGACCATACAACTGGACGTTTGCCCAACAGTCACTGCCGACATCGAGGGCGTGGACCCCCAGGATCGCATTCTACTTGGTGTTAAACACGGACTTGCAGTGTTAGATCGTCAAGCCGGAACATACAAGATGCTCGCACCGTTCAACGCCCAGGAGAACAATGAGCGTATCCGCTCCAACGACGGTGCGGCAGATCCCCATGGCAAGTTTTGGCTGGGGACCATGACGGATTTCGGGCTTGGAGAATTCCAGCCAGAAGGTATGGCTGATCTACGAGTGTTCGACGCCTCTAGCCCCTCTGGTGGCTGGGCTCACCCCCTCACACTGGCGCTGACGGCCTCTCTGATAGGGTTTCTTGCACGCTTTGATTCGTCCAGGGCAAAAGAGGAGGTCTTGACGGATCTGGTCATCCCCAATGGCCTTGGGTGGTCACCGGATAAGAAAACTATGTACTTTACGCACTCCAAGACGCGAGAGGTATTCGCGTTTGACTACTCCCTAGAGACTGGGGCTGTAAGCAACAAACGCCTCTGGTATCGGCACGAGGGACCAGGCGAGCCTGACGGCTTCCGCGTCGACGTGGAAGGAAACGTGTGGCACGCCATCTATGGAGAGAGCTCGGTGATCAAGATCAATCCCCAGGGCAAGGTTATCGGAAGCATAACTCTGCCGACTAGGAACATTACCTGTGTCCAGTTTGTGGGTACGGAACTATTCATCACGTCAGCAGCGGACGCGGAGGGCGACGAGACAAGTCAGAAGTATGGCGGTGGTGTCTTTAAGGTTGATGTGGGGATTGCGGGTTTGGAGCTATTCAAGTTCAAGTTATAAACCAAGGGTTCTCGTCGAAAGGCATGGCCCTTGCAACATCAAACGCCGACGCCGCATCGGCTTATGAGCGAGAGGAACATGGTTTGCCTTGCCGTGCTGAAAAAAAAAATTTAGAGATAGGAAAGCATAGAAGGATTTGCTATCTAGACCGTTTTCTGCATACAAAGAGCTGCTGAACTGGTTAAGCCGGATATTGTCTTTTGCAAGGTAGTACTGAATACTGATGAGTTTGAACCAACTACTATGCCCAATGCCATGTCTCTCACATGCAAACTCTTGTGATTGGAGCCACATGGCTGATAAGCAGGGGAGGGAAAGCGAAAAACAAGGAAAGAAAGGAAGCTAGATGAGGTGTTCAACCCGCCCTACTGTACGCCAAGTATGCAATTCTGAAGCAGGGCCATCTGCAAAGGGCACCAAGAAGCATGCAGCAGTGCATGAGAAGAGCAACTAGATGTGCTGGAACGGTTGCAATGCGGATGACTAGGTCGCTTTGAAATCATGCCCGAAGTATGAGAGAAAGAACTTGTAGTCGTGAGAAAGTTACGAGGAAGAACAAGTTGCTGGTAGTAGAGTGCGTCATCTTTCACCAACAAAAGGAGTGATTAATTGGTTACCAGGTCTTCAAAGGATGCTACTAGACCAGTTCCCTCTCCTATTATTCTTTCTCTGTTACAACGTTTTGGGAAAGGATGGTATGCTTGCTTCTCATGACTGCTTCCTCAGCCGGCTTGGTCAACAACCACACGACTGCATAGTGCTCCAACCGATTTCAGGCTTCTACTACACGTATTTGGCAATGGCACGGCACGTCTCACAACACCCCATCTGTTCATGCGGATCGATCCAGTGGTTTCAGTTGAGCATGGATCGACTTGCTCCCTTCTGGGCCCCCAAGCTCAATGTCTCAGTACTACTGCATCCTACAGCTAGCAGGCCTCAGCCAGCCGTCGTATGATGGCTCTACCGCTACGCAGGCGTGGTCCTCGCAGTAGTCATACTATTGGCAGCAATTAACGGCCGTTGCTCACCGCCGCTACAATTGCTCGACGCATTGGCTTCATCGCCAGCCCAACTTGGAGACCCGACTCGAACCCCCTTGTTCCGTCTCACCGCCTGGGCGGTTGCAACCCCGGCCCCGGTCTCCGGATTTCCGGCCCCGCATGCTCGGGGCGGTTCGGTCACGTCCCTTTCGCCCAACTACTAGGAGCGTGCGTGTGAGTACAGTAGCAAGCGCATGTACGAGTACCTGTAGCACGACCAGTGGTGGCACAAGTAGCAGTACAAAGCAGCATGGAGAGCAAAGTGATTTGCTCGTCCGGCGGGTGGGCACGGCATGAAAGGAAGACGACAGAACAAAGTGGAAACCAGGCCCGCTACCCACGACAAGGGGGGGAGTCGAGAAGAAGAAGCCCATCCTCCAAGCTGTCTAGCAACAGGGTCTAGCCGATAAACGGCCCCCAAAAAAGCTCCTCATGGCCAGGGTTGTCACCTCTTTTTTTTTTCTTGCTCTCCCAAGCAAGCCAAACAAACCTAGCTTGGCCAGCGTAGCATGCGGCTGCAGTTCTTTCCCAGGCGCAGGAACTGCTAGGACAAGGACCGTTCCCGGGCAAAAGGACAGGGGCGCAAGGGAAAACGTGCACGCTATCGTTATGCATACGATACATGGACTAAAGCAAGTGCGTGCTGCAGGCATCTCGATCTGGTTATCAGGGCAGCCGGCGGGCGTGCGGGCGAGGGACAGCGAAGCTCGGCTAGCATCGATGCGGTCAAGAGTGAGTTGCTTGGGCTGACGGGTGTGGTTTTTCTCTCTCGTCTGGCCGGTTTCTGGTTTCTGGGGAAGAAGGAGAGGGAGAAGGATAGACAGAGAGACGAGGTTCAGGTTCTCAGCCTTGTCGAGCCTAGCATGACATGTCTCTCATAAATCACATTGTCCTGAACCAACGGTTTTTGACAAACCTTATCGAATGACCTTTCCCTTCACACACTGGATTGAATTGACTTGAATTGATCCCTTTTTTCTTTTCTTTTTCTCTCGTTGAAACATGTCCATGCACTCATTTACAAATATAGACAGATACCGCGGATGAGTTATTGCCGCGTCCCTCACCGCCTTCTCCCAGACATTTTTTTTCCCAACTCCCCCCCTGTCCACAAAAAAAAGAAAGGAAGAAAAAAAGAAAAGAAAAACATACACCAGAGCCAGGGTAAAGGGGGGTTCCCAACCTCTCCAAACCCCCCTTCGTACTCGGCACGCAGCCAAAGAGTGCAGCGCAAAGCATCGGCTGCTTGGAGGGCGGCTTGCTGGTCTTGTTTCCTCTTCTCGCGGCGTGTGCGTTGACTTACTATTCGTCTACAGTACGAATAAGGACGGGGGATGGAAGAGAGAACGAGATGCTGACCCGAGCCAGACGCAGGGCGTCCTGTACGTACTTTGTCGCGCAGCAAACCCCGTTCTAGATGCTGTGGCAGAGCATAATGGAATACTACTCGTACTACAAGGCGGTAGCAGAATATGATGTCTCGACCGCGATGTACCGGTACATGGCTCGAGTTGCGATCCACCGCAAGCAGCGTCAAAAGGACCCTCTTCGCGTTCTTTTCTCTCACACCCAGCAGGGCCATGAGTTTCTGCTTCTCGAGCTACGGCTACGGCTACCCCCCCACAGGCGCAAACACGATGATGATGAGAATGATGATGCCGGTGACTAATCGACGGGCTTCCGCGCTCTCTTCAGCAAACGAACGATAGCTGGAGCCGCGAGCCGCGAGACAAGGGCCCCCAAAGACGGACCAGAGATGCTCGACACTTGGATCCATCCATGCCACGCTGAGCGGCATGCCCGTCTCCCTGGTGGGTTTTGCCCGCATCGCGGATGGCAACTCCGTCCTGTCAAGCTCTGCCACCTCAGTCCTGGTGAAGCCTCGTGTGTGTGCTGTCAACTCGACTAACTGGCTACCTGTACTAGCACTATCAGCTCCCCACACGACCGAACCCTGCTGATCCTGCGAGGCAGACGAATGGACCCGGCGTGCTGGCAACCTGAAAAGGGCTGTCCCGCTGTTGGGCTGACATGGGTGTGTTGGCATAGCTGACTAGGGCCTCTTCCCCCCCTAACCGACACTGTCCATCACCCTCGTCTCTCTAAGTCGGTGAGGTTTGTGAGGGGGAGCCTCAAGTCTCACGATGGCCTCATCACGACGGCTGCTTGATACTCGGACTCCATGTAGGAGTACAGCTTGCCCTGTTCGGCTCTCGACCTTCCCACCGCTTCGTTGCGTTCACCCCTAGCAACCGTCGTAGATGAGAGTGCAAACATCCAAGAATAGTAGCCCTCTGCTCTTTGTCTGTTCAAACTTTCCCTTTTCTTCTTCTTCTGCAGCTGCGCAAGTGCGAGTATGCCTATCCCCCCAAACCTTGAGCCCCGAGGACCCCTCCAAGGCCGTGTCCTTCCCGCAGACCGCCCCTTTTGGTTTCTTTTTTTGTTCCAGCTGCGGTCCACACGGATTGGGATTGGGGGTAGTTTGGCAAGTTTATCCTTCACTTGCTTCAAACAGCATTGGGAAACGCGGAGTACTGTTGCAAAGGACGACACTAGCTTGTACAGCCTTCCCAGTCTCTACATACATACACATACAGCCTGAACAGGTACTTGTGCTAATACTACTTGACACCAAGTACACCACACAGAAGCATATCTCGTTCCCCGGGTTCGTGCCATGGCCCTGCCTAGCCTTCCCCGTCGCAAAGAGAAGCCCCAGAAAATTCAACGGCAATACGGAGTACGTTGTCCCTCATCTTCTTTCCCACGTGCAACAGCCAGAGTAGCATTGCCAGCGGGCGCAACAGCAGCGTGTTGTCAGGCTGTTTTTTCTTTCCCTTTCATTCTGCCAGCGAATGGCCTTTCCCCATGTCCGAACAAGGTACATTTCATGCGTGTGGATATTCCGGCGTGTGATCCAACCTCCCATTTATAAGAAAAGCAAAACCGGCATATGATACTACTGTACGGAGTACAAGCATAAACAATATGGTGCCATGGGTCCGCGGTTCTTTGCTAGGCACCTGGTAGCACGGAGTATTACTACAGCACTTCAGATCCCCCCCAAAAAAAAGACAAAAAAAAAAAAAAAAACAAGTATACTGCAGCAATACCCTGCCTGCTTTTGGACGCAAAGCCACGCTGGGAATAGCAATCTTTTGCCCCCAACCCCCAGCACTAAAGCATCAAGGGCGCTTACTAGTCCGGTGATGCTCTCGTCAAATAGCCGTCTCGACCTCAGGCGTTACGGCCCTCATTGGGCGCCGCGATCGCCCAGGTTTGGGACCTAGTGCATCCATGACAGCGGCAAATCCATGGGGATCATCCTTCTTTGCCGCATCTGCCTGTAACGCGTACGTCTGCCCAACCGCAGAGAGAGGGCCAAGGCCAAGGGCAAGAGAACAGAGAGAGAGAGAGAGAGAGAGAGAGAGAGAGAGAGAGAGAGAGAGAGAGAGAGAGAGAGAGGGAAAAATCAAGGGGGCTGGGAGGGAGGGCTTGCTTGATTCTTGTCCACGGGATGTCCCGGTCCCCCATCCACGTCGTCTCTCTTATCAGGCCTTGTGACAGTGAGCAATGGGTAATGCAAAGGTTCATGATTTGACATCTTTTTTTCTTTTTTTTTTTTTTTCTGTATTTTTTCCTTTTTCTTTTTTTGTCTTTTTTTTTTTTTAACTTTTTGGACACATGCACATGCAGACGGCATGACGAGCCTTGTCGTGTTGCGGTGAATCAACTCCAAAATGCGACAAGATCCCGCCTCCTCCCCCTCAAAATTTCACGTCGGGATATCAGATATCAGCCATGAGTGCGTAGTACTCGTAGAATCACTCAGTTACCTCAGGGACCAAAATGACTCAGAGTTGTTTATCCGACTGTCATCTCTCTCCATGCTGTCCAAGTCCGCCATGACAACTTGTCTGGAATCAAAATGTAGATACACGCCCCCCTTTATCCGTAGTTGCCTAACGGATCGGCCAGTCAGTCATCACAAGATTCGCCCCCTGAACGGGTTATTCTAGTGCAAACAACAACTCGCACACATCGATAGAGCGCCCAGCATGTCAGGCAGTATCGAACTAGCTACGTAGTGATGCTGATGCACGCAAAGGATAGAACTTTGAGTGGAAATAGTAGGACAAAGGCACCCCCTCTGCCAAACTTCGTCTCTGCTCTACATGACAAGTACCTACTCTTCACGCATGCCATCACAGATCGGATTTATGGCATCACAATACTTCTTCTTGCTACCAAGTATGTGATGATTGATATCATGTTAATCTATCGACTGTCTCATATTCGGGCACTAGACTACCAAACCAATGCATACAGCGTCTCGCCACCATAATGAATACTCCCTTATGATTGTATTTTAGACATAGCACACACTCTCCACTGCTTATCGTTTGGCCGTCATGAGTGCCTGCGCTTATTGTTCTTCCACACGAGCGAGTTCTTCTTCTCTCAAATCTGTGTTGAGAACCAAATCCTCCTTGCATCTTCTGTGCACAATGATGGTCAACCCCTCGATTCCATCGTAATCATTATACTGATGCTGATGCGAAGCATTCCCCGTTTCCCCATCTGCAACGCCTTGACTCGCTTGGTGCTCTAGCGCAATATCCAGTTCGATTTTCAGCTTATCAAACGCAGCACTAAGACCCAGATACCGCGAGCGCCATTCGCAAGTGTGACGACTTATGGGCATCTCAGAATTGCTGTTAGGAATATCAAAAGGAGTCGCCGGCTCTTTCATATCATCTCCTGCCTGGTTACTTTTTGGGACATTGCTTGTAGATTCCATCCACCTGTATCCCGTGGATATTTGTTCTTCGTCATTAGTATTGTGCTGAGCTGATGAGTTGGAGAGAGCTTCTTCATCAAGGGTAACTGCTGCTGGAGATTGGCAAAGATGCCTTCCAGAGTCTGATGTCAACAACGTATACTCTTTGCCTGGGGAGCTATCCATCCATGCCGGCGTGTCGTTGATCTTTCTCAGTTGTTGTTTCCATGTTGAAGGATCGGAGGACTCGATGTTTCGCTGGGGACTCTTGCTTGTACTAATAACTTTCTTTGGTGAATCTCGTGTGCCAAGTGTTTCTCTGACCTCCCTTTTCGGTGTCAAGTCATTCATTCTTCTAACGGGCGAGCCCATCATCACTTGTGATACCCCTTGGGGTTGTTGTTCCCCAGCACCCCTCATCTGCTCATCATACATGACATCTTGCAGAGTCTCTCGTACGTCATTGTATTCTCCAGATGACGAGATACGAATTGTTGGAGTCTTCCACATGACGTTGCCTGATGATGATGCCTGTGATCTTTTTAAATCTGCCGAATGTATACTCTCATGGTAAGCTCCCACCAGGGACGATTTCGGTGTATTTTGGTTATCATTTTCAAGCGAGTGAGGCAGATTGGCTTGCTGGGACGTGTGTTGGCCTTCTGAACAAGTCCAAAAAGTGTCTTGGTCCAAAGTGTGTAAACTGAGAATCGCTTTCAAAGTCTTTGTGGCGGTTTCGTCCCCAAGACCGTCTATTCTTCGTCGAGGCGAAGTTTGCTTGTCGTCGTTGGACCACATACCTTGAGAGTGTGGCTCCTGTGAGGGTGGTACACTCTTGCCCCCTATATATTGACATTTGTCAGTCCGCTACAATACAAGGATCTTCATATGTCGCGAGATCGATACTCACTAGCTCTATCCTCTGACGGAATCTCACCTCCTGGCTGCCGCGTCAAGAAGGGCTGTGGAGTTCTATACTCAGACGAGAGCGAGGTGGCATGAGCAGTACGTATTTCAGCATCGTGTTTCCGACTGGCAGATTCGAAGGAATCTTTGGAGCCACGCTTATAGGATGCTTCTTCAATGCTTGTATTGGCTTGACCAACAACTTGCCACTTTGACGGAGAATGCCGAGCAACGCAGCAGATACTGTGCCTGGTAGGGTCGCTGTTGACATGGCAAGTCGGACAATCAGAACACTGCTCAGAGATGGTCATTTCACTATAGGATTTATCCAGGCGATGCCGGCGTTCATATCGAAATTGTTGGCGTGCTCGTCTTTCCGCTTCAGCATGGCCCAGTCGGCTTTCTTTAGGATAGCCCGTGATAGAGTCACGGCTCTTTGAATGAGATAGTTGATGGGTTTTCTCTGCCAGTATATCAGTTGTTTTCTCCCACATTGTGGCTGTGTGCAACTTACTTCTCTCTCCGTCAAGCACAGGCTCGGATAGATTGGCAAGACTCCGGCTTTGAGTTACCCCTTGTTGCCATGTCTTTTGTTTCAACTTCTGCTGGCCCGGCCCGTGGTCTCGGCCTGCCGAAAGATTTGTAAACAGGTCACCCACTAACTCTGTCTTGCACTTGGAGCAGAACTCATGCCCACATCTCGCACATCGCGCTCGTGTGTGTAAATATCCACCACAGGAGTGGCATACTTGGACAGTTTTCATCCCTGACGCCTGTTGTCGATCTCTCTCATCCGACAGCCAGCCCTCTGGCCGGGAGACTCCATACATGTCAAACATCTCCAGTACATCTCGTTGCTCTTTTCTAGAGCTGCCCGGGGCTTCTTGTATTGTCTGAATATTCGAAGATGATGCTTGGGGCTTGACTTGAGAATGTCTGGAAAGCTTGAAGCCCGATTTCGTATCCTCGGTTTCGTTGGCGCCAGACTGGTTTGATCTTTGCAAACTTCGGAACTTGCTTGGACCTCGGGTCGGGCTTTGCAATCCCAAAGAATTGCTCGATCTCGAGGCTCTCAAGTTCGGCTTGACGTTAAACATGTGGGCACTCGTCGATGCAACCTCCCAAGCAACTCGGTTGTCATCGCTATGATTGTCATTAATCCTCAAGCCCGGGTACGAATGTCCAACCGGAGGCGAAGCAGACACTTCGACCCGCGTCCGCTGACAGGCCGGGCTGCAAACATCCACGCCTTCACGCGTATTCGCAGCATAAGGTGAATTCTGGACTTTTAAGTTGTCGTAGCTCGACATTGTGTTGAGCTGCCGTATGCGAGACTCGACGAAGCCAGAGGGTACCAGGTCTTCTGGAACGCCATCAAACGATATAGCACCTCTAAGAGGAGTTGTAGGCTCACTGGACGCGGGATATGCCATGATGGTTGATGGATAAGCAGTAAACTAAGATCCAAAATAGACAATACATGGGTGTGCTTATGAAGAATCGTGGGGAGCAGAAGCATTCAGACGAGAGCATTACTAGTAGGTGCCAAAAACAAAAGAGAGGGATATACAGGAGCAAAGCAAGATGAGTTACCTTGTGCGTCCAAGGCAGGTAGCCCAAGAGGCAAGAGCGCTCTTACTATGTACTATAAGGAAAGAAGAGAGAAGTGATTTCGTTTCATTAGTATGTTTAGGAGCTGCTACATAGGTACAAGGCGCATTTCCCAGGAGTTTGCAGGATGCAGCAGATGTCTACTTTTGATTTTCTTCATATGACAGTACCACAACTTCAGTCAATTGTTTGGCTCTGCGCTAAAGACAGGTATAAAAGTTGTACAAGGGTTATATTTCTATAATCGTTTATTTGACATAGGTGGCAAGGGTCTCGAGGATCTGGTAACGGAATGTTAGTTTATGGTTGTCAACTTTCAGGTCAAACTGCTCCACGCACCTCCAGTTCGATCTTGGCCTCAGCGATATCCTGCTCGCTGCCATTGCCGCTGGCAACCTTCTGTGCCTCGGCAATACCAGCGCGGACAGCCTCAGCGCTGAAGTCCTCCAGGGGGTAAGCCTCGGGGGCGTTGATGCTCAGGACGGAGTTGGGCTGAACAGTGGCGAAGCCGCCAGACACTATACGGGCGCTCATCAGTCTTGTGTCGTTCATATAGTCGCACACTCGGAGGGGTCATCACGTACGGAAGAACTGCTTGGCGGGGCCGGACTCCTCAACAACCTCGACCAGGCCGGGCTTGAGCTGCTCAATGGAGGGAACGTGGTTGGCGAGGACACCCATTTCACCAGACTCTGCGGGGATGTTGACCTGGACGACGTCCTGAGACTTGTAGATGGACTGCAAAGCATTGCGGCAATTAGCACCGAGAACATCCGTTGACTGTCGCATTTCCTCCACACCAGCCCAATCGGATCGCATATTCGGTAAAAGTCGACTTCTCGCGGTGTAGGATTCATACCTGGTGAGGCAGAGCCAAGCTCAGCTTGATCTACAAAAATTTCAGTTAGCGATATATAAATTCCAGGCCTTGAGATTCGAGTGATCTGGAGCATCCTCACCTTGTCGGGGACGGCCTCGGCGTATCCTCTCCGCTGGATGGCCACTCGCATGGCTGTAGGGCGAGCTCGGAGAGCCGCACGGGCAACACGGAGGGAGTTCATGGTGACTGTGAGGACGATTGAGTCGTTGCTTGTGGTGAGCTCAATTGAAGCCGCTGGCACGAATCTTTGCCGGACTGCAGTCGTTAATTCGGCTAGCGGGAAAATCGCCTGCCGCACAGCACGTGAGAGAACACGTGATATTGCAACTTAAGTCTTGAATGAACTCGTGGAGTGATCTTGATGGGAGACTTGGTAGAAGCGTGAAATATGTTTCCAGATGTCATATTTGATTAAATTACGAAATGCTGATACAAGTGCATTGTGGCAGACGAGATTGTATCTCAGGCTTCCATCGCTGGGGAAGGGGATGTATCACAACTTACCATTGAAATTTGCAAAGGTTTCCGTTTAAGACTACATGCGATTTGACGACGATGCATCACCATTAGCAACCCGAGCCCCCGGGATTAAGAAAAGAAAATACATATATCAAGCTCACGAAAACTAAATCAATGCTCATATTAGGCAAAGCCAATTGACATGCTTATTTAGGAACTAGTTAGATTTTATCTTCGCCGCAGAAGTCATCTCATAACCTACAACGGGAGCTTGGGTAGACCCGAACTTATTCGACAATGAGAGCTTCGGAAAACCGGACTGGAGGCAACATATCTTATGCAAGTCTACTAATTCCTCGCTCCCATAGAACTTGCCTCGTCTTTTAGCACACATCTTTCTGGCGGATAATTGCCGTCGGGGTGTTACAGTAGTATTCAACGGCGAAAACTCGTCGCCAGCTGAACCAGACGACTTCGAGGAGACTATCGTTGGCCATGGCACCGAAAGCACGCCATCTTCACAAGAGGGATGGATGTGGAATGACGATAGTAACTCTGCCTCTACCTTAGCTCCATGCCTTTCAAACATCAGCTCACTGTCGGCAACGAACTCCGACAATCCTCTGGTCCAGTCAGGTCTATACTATGCCATCCAGCACATGCGAATGGCATTTCTGTCGGGTGCCACAGGCAGCTGAAGGGGCCTAGAATCCTTTGTGGCTTTAGCTTTGCCCAAGATATATAGTAACGTGGTTCACCATCTGGAATGGTGTATGGCCTCCCGGGTGGCCATACAGTTTTGAGTTTTCCCGTCAAACTCTCTCCCTCAACTCCGTTATCGCTCTGCCCTGTCTACTGCTTGTGCCACCCGCGATGTTCCACTGCTTTTGCGACAGCGCGGCATGTCAACGTACGTTGATTCACAATTGCCAAGAGAAAAGGGTGACTTCGCGTCAAGTTGCCATTGCTCAAGGCTCGAGGACAAGAAATCTAGACTATGGATATGTCTCAGAGAGACGGGCGGAGAGTAGGATTTGGTTGAAGCCAAGACAGCATGTGCGGCCGCTGCTCTTCGTCCAATACGGGTTCGAGCCGCCCCCTTTTATTGATACGAGAGTCTTAAAACAAGTATGATCTCGTGTGTATCTTGTAATGTATACGGGCTTACAGGTATGAGCCAAGTTGCACGAGCATGTAAATGGGGACGAGCTGAGTACGAGCATGGGTACAACAGCCTCACCTCCAAGGTGGACCAAAAGAGGAAAGAAAGAAAAGCCCCAAAATCAAGAATCTCGCCGAAGGGGGAATTTCTCCAGCCCCAACATTTAGTGCGTCAATTTTTTTTTCTCTTCTTCTTTCCTTGTTGAACTTTTTCTCTCTCTCTCCCCATCTTCTTAGAGCCCGCTCTCAACCGCTAGAGACCGGTGTCCTCGGTGGGCTGCCCCATCGGAGCGCCTGTTTTACTAGCGAAAGCGCGAGGGAAAAAAATTTGGAACAAAATTTTCCAACAAAAAGAAGCACAGTCTCACCAAACTAGCGGGTGGCTTGGGGACTAAAGAAAAAAGAAGAGCGGCCACATTACACTGTGTACCTCGATTTTACTATGTCTGCCCCCTTGGGTAAAGGAAACAATTAAACACCCGAGAACAGGCGAGGCCGCTAATTCTTGTGCTGGCCGTCAAATCTCCAAGCTTGAGCTTTTGGCCGTTGCAATTGTGCCGTATCGGGGGAGCTCTTGTCAATCTAGCTTCATCGAGAGTGGGCTTCTGGCTCAAACTGATTAATTTGCGCTTGGCATGTCTCAGTGGAATTTGCTGTCCTGGCCAATCGCTAAAGAGACATTGACAACATGTGTTTTGCGTGTTTACACGTCTTGAGACGATGACTCTGGGAATCTGGTTCATGCTCAGTCCAGGCCGTCCTATTTTAAGCTTATAGAATGAGTCAATTGACTGAGAGTGCATGTCTCAGGATTGAGGATGACCATATGTCTCTCTCTGCATTCATCAGACTAGTGGACTACTTTATTTTCCTCCTGGAGGGCGTGCGAGACAAACTCATGTCTCTCATGATATCTGAATTCAGCATAAGCTGTCAGTCATACTTGTACATACTAGTTGTAGTAGACACAGCCGTTGCCGGGTGTAAAGTGAACATCTGGGTTACATAAGCAGCCAGGACCACTAGTACTGCTTGGTGCATGGCCCAGGTTGTAGGTGCCAGAACGGTGTAATTAACCGTATCAAACTCGCATCGTTGCTGTGCGCCACCGGCACATGTCGTTGTATTAAGGGGACTTCCGTAAAGGGACCAATTGCAGTTACGGAGCAACTATTGTTCCCAAGAGTACGGACAAGCAGCGCGGACGTGTAATTCTGGTACCACGGAGCATTACGGAGCATATCATTATGTATGGTGGCCGAAAAGGGCTGTTGACGGTCAGTCCAGGCATGCGAGATGCCATTGGCTCATGCGCGGCCCTGACTCTCACCGCCAAACGGCAGCCAAGACTACGACTACGGAGTACAGGCAGCAGGAAATGAGCTTCTGATGCCTGAGGCTAAAAGGCATCTCCTTGAGGCCTCTCTCCTTGAGGCCGACGTTAACCCGCAAATGCCTTATGTCCGTGGCTGGTGAACGAGGCGACAAGGCCTTGCTCTAGCCCGTGCCCCGTAAGTCGCGAGGCTGTCTATTGGCTGTCTCTTTACGAAGGGTCCATACCCTGCGTCTTGATGCCAGGAGCATGTGCATGATAATATATCGCGACGTCTCTGGATCGAGGTACGCCGACGCTTTGGGAAGGCCTGACATGTAAGGTGCGTGCTAACTTGTGCAGCATGCACGGGCAATGCGGCCGAGCTACCAACAAGGTGGCATCATTTCCCACAGCCTCCAGACGGCGAGCTGTGTTTGGCTATTCGACGGGCTGCGTACGCATTCTCACGCGGGATGCGCATCCCTTGGCCCAGCCAGTCAGTCCCTTTAATTCGTGGCCGTATTGAGCAAAGCAGAAAGCACTCGAGACGATGCGGGGTTTGTGCAGCCCATCCCATTGAGCCGTCCGTGGGGTTTTCGAACCACATTGCCACATTAGTGCACTGGGTCGACTCGTCGTTTTGAGAGAAATTGAAGATTATGAGGGGCGAACCGCGCAAAGCGACGTGGTATCATGGAGCTCTGGTTGTGTCGGGCTCGACGCCTATTCTGGCGTAGAGCTGGCTCCCAATGGCTGCTGACCCGAATGGCCGCTGACGACAATGCGAGCCTTCTCTCCCACCCCCGCGCTGCCTCTGCAGTTCGCATTGGATGTCTTGTGGCAACCGTTGGGCTCGCATACTTGGGGGTTTGTCACTCTGATGTCTGCTGCTTCATACCCAGTAGTACGTGTTGTATGACGAACTTGTCCACTTTCGGACCAGACAACGCCTTCTATTCAAGCCCTCCTGCCGATCTGAACGTGTTAAGGGCGGATGTGGCGGCGGATTGCAGCTCTCGGAAGGGATCAGCTGCATGCACCGGCTCCGACGGTAGTTTGTCTTCTGTCCTGTTTATTTCCCTTTTTCGTCATGTCGACATGTCCTGGAGACGCCGAGTGGGATCGCATCTATTGACTGCGCCTTGGGTGGCATCCATGTCTCACCCTGAGCCCATTGGCATACTTTGTGCATGCAACGCCCAACTTGCAGCTTCTGGCTGAGAGATTACTGCATGCAGCCGGGTGATGAGCTTTGGCTGCTCGGCATGGATCCGGAGCATGATACGCGAAGGCAACGTGGTTCCATTTGCTGTGTCACTTGCGATTTGCATGCGTCCAACCGGCTGCAACATGGATGGTCTTTGATAAGGGGGGTGCATTCCAGCAGCCTGATCGACCCTTCTAGAGTGATGGCGGCCATTGCCCTCTCTTTTTCAAATACTCGATTTTTGGTGAATTTTTTTTGGTGCCATTGTTTGACAGACGCTTGGCGTCATGGCGCAGCTGGCTGTGATCGCTGCGTGCGAAGTTTAGCTTGAGCTACATGTCAATATCGGTCAGCGCGCCACGCGATGACAAACATTGGCGAATCCAAATCGTCCCCTTTACTTGTATGTATGGGGTAGGGAGCAGCTCGTGCATGCAATATCGAAATAGGGTCTCATGCACGCCGGCCCATTACAGCACTAACCCAGCCTGTGCCTCCCTTTCCCCTACCTTTGTGCAAGCGGGATGACCGGGGGAAGAGGCAGAGTTTGGGTGGAGCGAGGAAATGCGTGTAAAGGGGCGACGCGCTCAACAACCTCGGCTCCGTGGAGAACGGAATAGACGGAGGACGGACCTTGATTATTTGCCAATCCGGCTGGAGGACGGAACGCGGTCATCTCACGTCCTGAGGCTGAAGGATGTATAGATGCCGGGGGAACACCGGCAAGACCGAGCCTCTGCGAGATGGTCGATGAAGCTCGCGGCTCCAGCGGCCTAGAGGGGACGAGAAAAAAGAAAAAAAGACCCATCAGTCCTCTGTTATGGCTCTTACTGTACTCGTACAGGTTGGTACGGGGTTGGAGCTAATGAGTCGTTGTCTACACAGGTCTGGACTCGACTGTGTGTTACTCTGTTTGGCAACCCTCACAGGAGCTTCTGCGCACTTGAGTCGTTGCCACATCCCTCCGAATGCGGCCGTTGGCTAGTGGCGTTTTCGCGCTTCGCTTCAACGGCAAGTTGCGACTGAAGAAGACTGTGGAGGGACCTCGGAAATGGCGTCTTTGATCGAGACGGGCCGCCTAGGCACAGAGTACTGAGACAGTGCGATTCCACGACGGCCAACGCGCAAAATGTTACTGGTTCTGCGGAGAACGCGCCCAAGCCGAACAAATCGAAGCTACCTGTGAGAGCTGCAGGCTGGCACGGCTTTCACTCGGCTGTGGCCCGAGGCGAGGGTCCCTCACAGTACTCGCACATGCCCCTCACAGTGAAGCGAGATGCATTCATGCTCGTACATGCTGCATCTCCTGATTAATGCGCTGCCGTTAGCAGCAGCCGAAACACAAAGCTGGACTTGATTGGATGTTTCTGCCGGGATCTGTCAAGATACCAGAACCTGCCACTCATTGGCCAATTCAGCAAGCAATGGGACTTGTACGTCTGGTCACGCAGTTGCATTACTTACAAAGTATGTATCACCAAGGTTACCACGGCTCCCGTATCTGGTTATATCATGGCGCAGAGCTGTTATTTTAGGCGCGGAAGTGAGCCTCGCCTGCTGACGGCTCCCCTGAAGGGCAATGAGCATCATCCTTGTTGGCCTCAATCATTCTCACGCTTCTGTTGTTCCATTGGTGTTCGAAATGCCAAACGGGGCTGACCTACGGAGTACAGTACACTGAGTACCAGCACGGCCCATTTTGCACCGGGCGGTGAGTTGGACCAAGGCCTTTCCCTCTGCCTTGTGAGCGGAGCCGGCTCTCTCGCTTGATGCTCTGTGATGGCGCACAGCAACACAGCTTTGTTCCGGGCATGAGAGCAAGCACCCCCAGCTCACGCGCCAAATGACCCTGGCAGCGCCGCGCTAAGGGTTCATGTTCGCGCGCCTTTTACTATGAGGCAATATCTTGCCAGAAAACAAGGCCCTTGCCTTCCCTCGACCTAAGAATAGGACAGGATGGGATAGGATGGAATTGGGGAGCCCAGTGGGTTCGTCTCCCGTCATCATGATGCGCTAACCAGTTGCATAAAAACAATCTTACGGCCTGTTGTGTGCATTTGCAAGCAATGCATCCAATGCCATTCGTCACTTGGCGCCGGGTGACTCGACGCCCTGGGTGCTTGCTGAGCCTCACATGATGGCGAGTTTGAGGCTGTTTCCAAATTCCGGCGCCTGAGGCTCCCTTTTCTTGCCCGTTCTATTCCTGTGCTACCCATGTAATCAAACATGAGATTTGCCAAGGAGGATCTGTTTAGCGGTAAGATTTGACGGCTGGGTCAATTCTCGCTTGTCGCTCTTGGTACGGATATACCAGTGCGGCACTGTACGAGTATGTACCATATGGCGAACATCCCGTTGCCATGCGTACTTTGATGTACGCACATAGGCGAATGCTCACGAGAGTCGTACAGCACCAACGTACATGGCCTCAGGTACCCGAGCTGTAGCCGGTATGGGAAGCACTGCAAGTTTTGCATTGTGCGGTACGCACGACAGGGCCTCGAATCCTCGTATCCATTCTGTCTAGGACAGTTTTACTGGCACGAGAGAAACATGTCTTGCACGATATATGCTTAACACGAATAGCGCAGAGCCAGGGCGGCCGGGCAGTTAAGCGACAATCGGGTGAGACATTGGCTCCCAGCCTCAAGGACGAGGCAACGCGGAAATTTGCAAGGTACGGAGCAAATGCCACAGGCTGCATGTACGGAACATGTACCGCCGGTGCTCGGGAGCCGCTACGGAGCAAATATGGACAAGAAAGACGGAGTAGCGTGATTGCAACATCGATACACATGGTGCTAGTCATGCGAAGCTGAGATCTCCATGGGAAAGCAGCTTGCTCCTTTCGCTCTCGTGCAGCCTGTGCGCGCACCCCTGACAAGGGCACCGACGCTTTTACAGTGGCAGCTGTGTGCTGAAATGCAGATGCGAGCGGGGAAGCGAGCGGCATATCGAGAGGAAACACTTCGCCTCCCCTTGTTGCTGTTTTAACCAAGGACTTCGTAATTCGTAATGCTACAGCGCCAGACTGTAAGTGGCAGACATTGAATTGCCTCTCCCCTTTTGGCCCCCCTCCTGCTCCCCCTCCCACCACCTGTCTGTCAGTCTGCTTGACTGATTGCTTGACTGAGTGATTGATCAACTAACTAGCTGTTTGCCTCTTCTCCGTGGAAGCTGGGATGGATGGATGGGCTTGAATTCTGGTGGATGGCAGGCAATCATCAGCTCACCCTCCTACTTCGGATGCCCTACTCCAGCACGATGCGCTATGCGTTCGCCAGGTAAATTCAAGCCCTTTTGGCCGCACCATGACGACACGGGCTTCTTTCTGGCTAGCGGCTTGGGGCTAGTCGCTGGCTTCGGCCGGCCGATCGCTGCTCGCCAATTTTCTGCGTCCAGCGCGGGCCTGAGAAATTTCACAGCAGCGACCCGCACGCCGTTGGCAGTTGTATGGCTGGCGCGCAGGCCCTGTAACGGTGCTGCCAGTCCGCTACAGTACAATCCAGTACAGGCACTAACAGCGCTGGCCATTCGCCGGCTGGAGCCCTGCGGCCAGCGAATCGAGGTGGCGCTCAGCCACGCCATACCGAATGAGACGAAGCGGAAAGGCCAGAACAAAAAAAAAAAAAAAAAAGCCCGTGAGGACATAGCAGAGACGCTGCCGCTGCGAATCAAACCAGCCCAGCGCCAAGGAAAACCACTCAGTGGCTCCTCTTCCTGGCAATTTGCGAACCCCCCCTAAGTCTTGCGTTCACCCCTTCTGCCCCCACACGGTTCTGTAACTTGTCAACTCTGTGCTGCTCAGGTGCTTTTTGTGCTTGTGCTTGTGCTTGTGACTGTGCATCCCACCGTGCTCGTGCCCGTCCTTGCTGCGACGCCCGCACACTGTGCACACTGTGCCTCCAGCCCGCTGTTGCTCATTTGCACCCCAGAATGATGCAGTCCTGAGCGGCACGAGGCTCCAAAACAGGATGGCTAGCAACGTGCAGCTCATAAAAATCGCACTGTATGGGCTTCCATTATTCTGGGGCCTTCCCTCCATCCCCCAGGCCCAGTTTTTGTGCTTGTACTCCGTACGAAGATGAGAAAGAGGATGGATGCTTTTGTGCTAGTCTGCAGTGGCGGCAGATCAGCTACGATTATCCCTCACCATTTTTCAGGCGCTCTCGAATCGTTCTGCCGCCGACCTGTCTTTTCGTCTTTTCTCTCCTTCTCTTCACTGTGTGAGTGGCGGCCTCTGGTCTTTTCTCGCAAACCTCCTCTTTCTCGGCGTCTCGTCCAGACACAGCGGAGTGCGCAAAGCAACGCGGATACTTGCGCTTGCCACTGCAGTGTCTGAGACTGTTGTCTTGCCTTGTCTTGTCCAAAATCCACGTCCAAATCCATCTCCATCTCCCCAAACATCGCAGATCCCTGCACCGGCGTCTACGTCCACGCCTCGTCACACCCCTACCGACCTCCCGGCTTCTGTCGTGTCAGGTCCGCCACGCCACATCTGGACGGACGTCATCCGGAATCTGCCAAGAAGGGCTCCTCTGCTTCTATAATCGCACGCCCGTAACTGCAAGACCCTTTTTTATCGTTTCTCTGCGTTGATTCGACTGCGAGTCTGCCCCCCCCGGATCACCACACTGCGCTGCTTAAAGTGGACTGGCCTTCCGCCCGCTCAATCACACTTATACCACACGCGCGGGCCCCAAAAAGGCTTCTTAGTCCTTTCACATCCACTACCTTTGCTCGACTCTTTAGGTATTGATCATGTTTGTTTTGATGTTATAGCATCGCTGTCCTCAGGGACAAATCTTTGTTACGAGAACTTGTTCTCGCCCCAGCTGCAAGCCTTGTGTCGGCTTACACGCTTTGCCTTGCTACGACACAACCCTCCGACCCCTCTCGAGTTGAGCCGCCTTGAACTCTTGTCTACTATCTCCTTGGCCCTGCTCTTTTAGCAGAATCAGGACGTTGAACGACACCCTTATTGCTATTCCTGGATCTCTTTTTTTCGACCTACAAGTCAAATCAACCGCCTACTCAAAATTCACTCACCACACTTGTCAACCTCAAAACCTCAATGCCTACAATAGCGATCATGGCAACTCTTCCTTCTTCACAAGCCCTCGAGTGGGCGATGCAAGGTTCAGATCTCGTTGAGGACCTTGACGAGCCCCCAGAACAGAGGCTGTACATGCCCACGCCCACCAAGCCTCTGCCTTTCCAGAGAGCCCCGATTCGCCCACAACAGGTCGCATCCTCGCTACTGACCCAGGCTATCTTGGGACAGTCTGATGAGGAGGACAACCACGTTTTCCACCCTTCCCATGCCTATAGCCAGCGCCGCCGTTCCATGGTAAGCAATGCTAGTATTGCTTCTACCGCTGATTTGACCAGCGATACTGGTCTCACCAGCCCTTCGCGAACCAATACACCCAGCCCACCTCCCCCGGACCTGTCAATGCTTCGTCTTCGCCATGGCGCTGCTGATCAGAAACCTGGCTTCATTGCCAGCCTCTTCGGCGCCAGGAAAGTGGAGGAGCCCGTCAAAGAAGCTCCTCGAAAGCGATGCATTCAGTTTGCCTGTGCTGCCAAGCCTCAGGCTCAGCCACAAACCGTCCCTGCTGCTGCTCCGTCAGCTGCTTCTCCTCCTGCGCTCAAGACCCCCCTGGCACAGGAACCGCCAAAGCGCTGCATCAAGTTCGCCTGCACAGCTCGCCCATCATCTGCACAAAAGACTTCCCCCAAGCCCTTTGAGCCCTCCACTCCCAAGCGGAGCATGACTCTTCCCGTCCCCATCTCTCCGAGACTCGTGCCTGCTCAGCAGCAGTCTGTCAAGGCTTCGCTTGTTCGACCTCGATTCCTTCGTGCTTCATCCACGGAGCTCATCAAGGACGGATCTCAGTTCCACGAGTTTGCCAGTGGCATGGCTCGTGAGGATGACTGGATCCGACAACAAGACTCCACTCAAGCTAAGCTTACCATTTCGGATACCCTGGTCAAGGAGAACCTGTTTCGCCGTCTAGGAGCTGAAGCCGAAGAGGAGGCTGAGATGGAGGAGCGAGAGGAAGATGAGGCCGAGACTGCCATGGATGATGATGATGATGAAGATGAAGACGACGAGGATGATGAGCTTGATGTCTTGGATATCGATGATGAGGATGAGGATGAGGATGAGGACGAAGAGGATGATGAGGACGATGAGGCGGATGACGGCTCCGACGGTTACCACACTGACGAGGAAACTGGCTTCGCTGATTCCGACGAGGAAGATGACGAGGACGAAAACATGGCCATGTGGACGCCGGGCCGTGCCCCATCCGTCCCCCGCCAGGTTACTCCCCGCTTGGCTCGCCGACTCTCCTTGACCGAGCACTCGGATTCTTCCATTGGCTCCAGGCGCAGCCGTCGTCGTTCCCTCAAGGCTCGCCCCATTGGACCTCAAGTCGAGGCACCGGACTTGCCAGACAGCACCGACTTCGTGTGCGGTACTCTGGACGAGGATCGACCCGTTGAGGACGCTTACCTTTCATGCCTCGCTGCTCGCAGAAACGAGAAGCTGCGCATTATCCCCCAAGACATTGACCCTAGCTTCCCGGCTTCGGACCTTGACGAAGAGGATGAAGAGGATGCCTATGTGGCTGCTGCTGACAGTGATGAACATCCTTGGGTCCACGGCGCCATGGAGGATCTCGATAACGAGACAGACCGCGCTCGAAGGAGGCGGAAGAACGAAAACACATCTCCCCGACGATTCCGTTCTCCACCTCCCAAGCGACGCGGCTCTCCCGCCCCCAAGCCTCGCGTTCGATCCCCTAAGCCTCTTTTTGACCGCCAGTCGCCTCGTCGAGCTCGCTCCCCGGCTCCCAAGGCTGTGGCCATTGCCACTCCCATCCAGACTCCACGACAGGGTGCACACACCAAGTTCCAGCTTGCTGGCCGCCCTGGTCTAACCCAGACCAAATCCCTGCCCAGACCCGCAGCTATCTTCCGCCATCAGAAACAGCCCAAGGGCTCCAAGACCTCGTCTGACACTGATGGCCACATCCGCAGTGCCATTGACATTGTCAAGGGCCTTGAGAAGAAGCGCCTGCGCCGCAAGGAAAAGTTCTTCCAAAAGTATTGCGATCGTGCCCGACGTGGGCAGATCCCTGAGCGCAAGCCGCTTCCTGGCCTGGGTGCCGAACGCATGCGAGAACTTGGGTTGCTCATGGCGGGTAAGAAGGACCCGGGCAACTACGTTCTCTCGTGCTAAAGGAGAAAAAGTTTTTCTTTCTGATGGTTTTGACCACTGTTGCATTTTCAACGGATGGAAATGAGATACGCATTGGAGAGGAGTTGAGCATTCAATAGGCATGGGTTCCACAGTCCCGTCCTATTAGACCATGTGTCCAATCTTCTTCCCTTTGTTCCTTTTCTTTTTTTTTCCTTTACGATTTTTACGACTTTTCTATTTTATATAATTACATGATTTTTTCTCGGAGATTAGCCTCTTTGATGGGCGGCTCCTGTACATAACGATCTATATATTTGAACATCTTGTTATTTCCCTTTACCAGCGGAATGCAAGCAAACTGGGAACAGTACAACTACGGACACAGGGCGGGAAGGCTTTTTTGTCTGCTTTTTGGATACAACCATGAGACGCATTGGGATGCGGGTTCTCAGCTGGCGTTGGAGGCAGACATTTGAATGCTGTCGGCATTATTACTAGATACCTTAGTAATACTGAATCTGAAAAGATTTATAACTCAAACAACCCATCTCCGTTACCGTGAAGACTTTGTTGTGACTCTTTCTTTGTTGTATGGAAAGAATACAATGGGAAGAAAATAATCCGCGGTGAGTGATAAAAGGGATGCTCTCAAGCCACGTCAGCCGTAGAGGTTGAGCCCAGTTTGACTCGATCTACGCCACGTATGTTGGATCTATGAAGCAGGCAAAGAAAAGAATGAGCAAAGAATCCCAAAAAGAACACATCATCATGAAATTTAACTTTCGTTTATATATATGTTGTCATATGTCATAAATTATCCTTTGTAAGATACTCTAGAATCGCACTGCCAACAAAAATATACTTTTCGGCCGCGCAGAATCGCCACCATCTCAAAGTCACAGAGTTTGGTGCCTGAGCAACAAGGCACGTCACGTGTTCCCGTCCCTTGCCTTCCATACAAGCGGTAAAACACATGATTGTCCTTTCCGATCCCATTCTAGCCTGCATCGACATCATCACACTTCGACTTCTTTTGCTTGTTCCTTTTTTTTGCGCTTTTCTTCGCCCTTGCACCCATCAGTCAACCATCGAGGGCCTGAGATACGAACAAGTGCATATCCTTTTGGCTTTTCAATCAATCGCCCAGCATGTGGATCGTTAACTGGTGTATGTATTCCGTTCTGGCCTTGATTCCGCCACTTTCTGCGCTGCACTCTTGCATACGGCGGCGACGACAATGCAGAGACTGACCCTTTCTTGCTTGCTCACTCTAGTCTACGACGTCCTGTCGTCTTTGGGATTGCTTAACAAACACGCCAAGCTGCTCTTCCTGGGTCTCGATAACGCTGGAAAGACCACGTTGCTGCACATGCTCAAGGTACGTTGCTGATAAGGGACGGGGGAGAGATTATGGCGCAACACGCACACATGCTGCTGCGGCGGGATGGGCTGTTGCGCACATGGTCGATTCCTACGTTACAGAAATACGAACCGAGCTGTGAGGGATGCGATATTCTAACATGATGCTGGGGTTTCTTATAGAACGACCGAGTTGCCATTCTGCAACCTACTCTCCACCCTAGTACGTTTTCCGCTGCAGGGCTTACATACGATACGAGGCCATAATCGTGCTGACACATTTGCAGCTTCTGAGGAACTCGCCATTGGCAACGTTCGATTCAACACTTTCGATTTGGGCGGTCACCAGCAGGGTATGTCTTTTTCTACTTTGATTGTTTTGTTTTGCCTCCCTTTCAAATTCCAACCCCACCAAGTCCGAGTCCCTAGACCTTGCGTGTATACTTACCATAATCTCCACCTACTAGCCCGTCGTATCTGGAGAGATTACTTCCCCGATGTTAACGGCGTCGTCTTCCTCGTCGACGCCAAGGACCACGAGCGATTCCCCGAGGCCAAGGCCGAGCTCGACGCCCTTTTGGCCATGGAGGAGCTCTCCAAGGTTCCCTTTGTGATCCTGGGCAACAAGATCGACCACCCCGATGCCGTTTCCGAGGATGAGCTGAGACACCAACTGGGCCTGTACCAGACGACCGGAAAGGGCAGGATGCAGCTGGAGGGTATCCGACCTATCGAGCTCTTCATGTGCTCCGTGGTTATGCGACAGGGCTACGGCGATGGTATCAGGTGGCTGTCCCAATATGTTTAAAAAGAGATGGAGTGTGTTTGCGATGGTGATGGGAATGAGATGATGAGGCCACCGGACTCATGAGTCGTGGCTCAGTGACGATTCGATTTGAGAAACCGAGGAGGTCAAGAGGCGTTGGGTCGTGAGTTATTTTATGAGACTCAGCATTCTCTTTTTAGGCGAAACCTTGTTTTTAAATGTTGAAATTTATACCGTATCCGTTGCTTTACTTTACTTGGAGTCTTTTCCCCCTTCCTGGTGCAATTAATGGTTTGTGAAGGTAATGGATCACGAAGACGTTGCACCAGGGAAGGGTTAAATAACTAGGTGTTTTTCTTTCGTCTAGGTAGAATTAAGCTACGATACGACGGTTATCGAGATTTCAGCGTCTAATCGCCAATGACGAAAGGTGAATGCAGGTGGCATGATCAAGTGTAGACAACAAACAAACGCTCTCTATTTTCCAAAATAACAAGAATATTCAGTTTCTCGTGAAGGCCAAACGACAACAAATACAAAGCATAATGTGCCCCCTGTATAACAAAAATAATAACAATAATATATATAAAAAAGTGTGACCAACAGAAAAGTAAAAAAACAAAGCGTCGCATGCTTTCAGAAAAAAAAAAAAAAAAAATTCAAAATAGAAAACATCCTCCTTTCATTCATTTGTATCATACAACGTTACGTTGTGTCGTCGACGAAAAAAACACGAGCTGGGGAGTATTAGAAATTCGACATTAACTTCTTTCCCTTCTCTCTTCCTCTTCCTCTTCTTTTCGACCGGCGCGCAGGGGGTATATGTAAAGGATGTTGTTGTTGTGGTGGTAGTTTATGTATATGTATGGCGATTTGAATCAGCTGTGTAGATGAGACAGCTGTAAAAATAAATGATGTAGTAGCCAATAACTATGCGAGGGGAAAAAAAAAAAAGGGCCCAGATAAAGTGCAAAATGCTATGCTATGCTTGCTATGCTTCCTCCTCTTCCTCCTCTTCGTCGTTGTGATGATCTTCTTCGTCTTCTTCCGTCGTCGGGGTATCAAATGTTTTCAGCCAGTCATTCGCGTACTGGAGGTGTTCTCTCATACTTGATATAATGTGATGTAGTTCGTTCTTCAAGTCCTCTTGTGAGCCCAAGCCCTGCAGAACATTTGGAGAGGGTGCACTGGGAAGAGGCGGGAGGGAAGCCATCAAGGAGTTCCGAGCGCTCGTCATGATCCCCAGGCCGGACGACTCCCATGCAATGTTTGGCCTTTCATCGGGCGTGGTGGGCGTGCTCTGCAAGTCGCTCAGTTGCCGCGTGAGAGAAGGGACCGACTCCATGTCATCGTCTATGTATAGAGAGGGCTCTCTCGTGTTGATTTCCGCCTCGGCATCGAGCTCGAGGTCGAACGATAGAGATCCGTGAACCGAGTCGGATGATCGCACATGAGAGCTTGGCACGAACGAACCAGGGGCACTGAACCCCCCTTCATCTGCCAAGGAAGCATCGAGGTCAATGAGACTCATGGACGAGTCCCGATTCGTCGAGGCGCCCATGTCGTCAAATTGATGCGGCTGAGGTACATGTGCGTCACTAGAGAAATCCTCATTATCGCTATAGGTGTCTGCATTGGGAGCAAAGGTGGCTGAGCTGGGCGTCATGGCAGGGAAAGTCCACTCTTGGGTATCGCGTTTGGCTGTGGGAAACGTCCACTCTTGCGTGCTTCGTTTGTCCTCCGTAGGAAAGCTCCATTCCTGTGTATTCCGTTTCTCCGTGGTTGGAAATTTCCATTCTTGGGTTTCGCGCTTGTTAGAAGGAAACGTCCACTCCTGCGTATCCCGCTTGTCTGAAGTAGGAAACGACCATTCCTGAGTGGCCCGTTTGGTTGGAAAGTCCCAGTCCTGAGTCTTGCGTCGCTCGTCAACAGATCCGCTCAAGTCAATCGAGATGGGCCGCGTGGCTGGCTTGATTGTCTCCTCGCCAAGGCTGGGCGTCGCCGGGGTGTCGTCAAACGCAAGATCCAGATCGATCAACGACTCGCGAGCCGGCGCTGCCGACTCTGGTTTGGGCTCTGGCTTCGATTTCTTCTGGGAGGATGGCGGTGGAGCTGAAGTTGGAGGTGGCATCGGTATTCTGCCATACCAGGCTCGCGAGTTGTCGCCATAATTGGTGATTGTGTACGGATCAAACACCTTTTCTAGAGGGGCCTTGAGTTCTTTCATGGTCGGAGGCGGGCGCCTGCGACGACGTTGCATTGGCCGCGCCGTGTTCTCGGGGCTCGAGGCGACGCTGGGGTAGTACTCGGGGGCAGCACGCGGCTTGGCCGTGTTTTGGAACATGAGTTCGTCCACCTCGTCGAAATTCCCAAAGTCCCAACCGCTTTGACGGACCGGAGATCGGTCCTTGCGCGGTCCCTGAGCACCACCAGCCGAGAAGAGAGATTGCCTACTGCCACCCTGAGACTCCCAGTGCTTATAGTCGGCCACCAGCTTGGAGAGAGACACGGTTGGATATCTGTCGTGCGTGTTGAAGATGTAGGGGTGCCGCTGGATCTCTTCGATAGGCGGCCGTCGCTTGGGATCCTCGACCAGACAGAAGGCGATGAGGTTCTTGAGGTTGTCGGAGAACTTGTCGCCCTGCAGCCGCGGGCGATGCTGCTTGAGGTAGGCACCAAACTGCTGGATGTTGATTCTGGCGGTTGCGTTTGGCGGCAGGCCGTTGGCGATCTCGTAGGCCATGGACCCAAAGGCCCAGATGTCGACCTCGATGCCGTAGGCGACATGGGGGTCGAAGAGCTCCGGGGCCATCCAGTGCAGGGTGCCGGTGATGGTGCTGCGCTTGTCGAACTTGGTCTCCATGATGCCAGCGACACCAAAGTCGCACAGCTGCACGCCGCCGGCCTCGGTGACGAGCACGTTGGCGCACTTGATGTCGCGGTGGATGATGCCCTGCTTGTGCACCCAGAACAGCGCCTCGGCCACCTCGCGCAGAATCGGGATGATCCAGCGCTCAGCCAGGCCGCTCGTGGGCCGCATCAGCGACGCGACGCTGCCGCCAGCGCAATACTCGGTCACCATCCACACGGCCTGGCCCACCAGATGAGTGTCGACGACGGCGTTGACATTGCGCGCGCCGCTGTTGCTCAGCAGCTTCAGCGTGTTGACCTCCTTGATGATGTCGCCCAGCGTGTCGGCCGCGCCCGGCTGGATGCCGTCGCCCTCCTCGATGCTGATGACCTTGACGGCCACCAGCTGGCTCGTCTTGGTGCCCACGGCCTTGTACACGCGCCCGAAGCTGCCCTTGCCGATGAGCTCCAGCAGCTTGTAGGGCGGCGCCTCCCGGCCAGCGTCAGCGCACTCGCGCAGCACGATGGCCTGGGCGGCACGAGCATCCTCAATGGCCTTGTGCTTGGTGGCCGAGTAGCTGGGCGCTGACGAGAAGCCGTTGGGGAGGCTGCCGGCATGGGGGTACTGCATGATACCGCACACGAGGTGATGTCGTCGGGTCGCTTCGTCCGTGTCGTTATAGGGGTTCCAGTGTGTCTCGGTCCCCTAGAGCCTAACCCGGCTCAGCGTGCCACCAGCGCTGTAGCGTGGCAGCTGTAGCGGCCACAGCGGTCGAGTCGCAGCTTGCGAGTTGAGCTAGGCTGCTGCGCCGAGCGGATGGATCAGCGAGTCTAAAAGGGCCAGTCCAAGTCCAGCGCAGTCCAGCGCAGTCCAGTCACGCGGGGGCCAGTAAGCTGCTTCCACTGGCCTCCCTCTCTCTCAGCGGGAGACTGGCGGTGGACTGGCAGAGGCAGAGGCGGAGAGGGCGACGGCGACGGATCTCGGAGGCGCGCAGAGAGGAGTCCAGAGATGGTTCCCAGACCATGGAGAAGAAGCCCGAAAAAGCACGCTTGAAGAAGATGGGAATGGAGAAACAGCAAAAAAGATAGATAAAAAAATAAAAAATAAAGTACAGGTCGGTACTACTGAGAAGCAGAAACGCACTTTCCCCCCTGGCTTATGCCACATAATGCCATCGAATCAATAAGCATCAATCCATGTTGCAGCCCCTGGCAGGCGAAAAGCGACCGCCTGAGGGGAGCCTAAAGGGAGCGCTAACCCTGAGGCTGTCGCAAGGCTCCGCACCCGCTGTGGAAAAGCCGCTAAGTCTCAGGCGTGGAGCCCTGGGCGAGTTTGAATGGGAAAAGCCCCGCTAATCTATTTTCCATCAATGGATGTTCTTTTTTTTCCAATGTTCCATCTTTTTTTTTTTTTTCCCTTGGTTCCCCTTCAGCCTTGCCAGGGGTCTCGTGCGCCTTCAGCCCGGTGCGACGTCAGCGCTTTCTTTCGAGACATTGCAGCTGATGCGGTGATCAACCCCTCTGTCGACCAAATCCCGTGAGCAGCTTGGCCTCTCCTCGTGCTGGTCTTGGCCTTTCGCCTGACGTACTCTGACGCTTCTAAACGCTTCTACTTCTCTGTACTTTTCTTCTCTGTCTCTATACTACCTAGTAGCACTTTGCTCATGTGTATTTATATAGGTACATATATAAACCAGTCTGCCTATATATAACGTCGCCATGATCAAGACTTCAGTTGCCATCGCTGCTCTCAGCGCTGGAGGAGGCGCCGCTCTCACCGCCGCTCTCTACTCTCTGCGTCCCAGCAAAGACAAGTTGGCAGACATGCAACCCACGCTCGCTCCCTCTTCTTCTTCCCTCTCCTCCACAGCAATCGCCTCTTCCTCGACTGCCGTCGCCACAATCCCGGCCAGCCAAGTCTTTGGGGCTCCGGGCGCTCCCTCATCATCGCCCCTGGGCTCTGCGCCCGTCAACCCAGGCGGCCTGTTCGAATATGGCTTCCCGGGCCCCGTCTCCGACATCGCCAGCCGTGCCGCCCTCATCTCGAGCTACGACCGGCGCACGCGCAACCCCCACTGGGTCGTCGAGCACATCACCCCCGAGTCTCTCGCCAAGCGCGACGGCGACCGCAAGAACAGCCAATTCCTCGAGGACACCGCCGTGCCCGCAAAGTTCCGCGCCCTGCTCAAGGACTACTACCGCAGCGGCTACGATAGGGGCCATCAGGTGCCGGCCGCAGACGCAAAATGGTCGCAGGCAGCCATGGACGAGACGTTTTACCTGACCAACATGAGCCCCCAGGTCGGCGAGGGCTTCAACCGCGACTACTGGGCACACTTTGAGGACTTTTGCCGCCGCCTGACGCAAAGATACCCCTCGGTGCGCATCGTCACGGGGCCCCTGTATCTGCCCAAGAAAGACCCCGTCGACAACAAGTGGTATGTCAAGTACGAGATGATTGGCACTCCGCCCTCTGTCGCCGTGCCCACGCACTTCTACAAGGTCATCTTCGCCGAGGACGGCCGGGTCGGCGGCAACGTCGCTATTGGTGCCTTTGTCCTGCCCAACGCCCCCATCGACAACGCCAAGCCCATCACCGACTTCGAGGTCCCCGTCGAGGCTGTGGAGCGCGCCAGTGGCCTCGAGTTCGCCAACCAGCTGCCCATGCAGCGGAGAAGGAGGCTCTGCGCCGACACCACCTGCTCCCTGATCATCAAGGACTACAACGAGAGGCAAAAGTCCTTTGCAAAGGGACGGTCGTCTTCTGCGTGAGGCTCTTGACGTTGCGAGGGAGACGAGATAGCCTGGCTACATCTTGGTGGAACTGGCCGTTCTGTGTATCCGAAGCTGAAATTGATTGCGCACTTTATCACCACCTACCACACCATCTTCTCTTTTGTTACCGCCACGCCACGACATGTGCGACTATAGATCTGACGTTTTGCTTTTTATCATCGGCATCTACAATGCCATACGAGAGCGACATGTTCGATATTTATGCCACTCACATGCATTTTCTCATTGCCACCTTTACCTTTCAAATAGACATAGGCAACCAGCAACATCACACAGCACACAGCACAGCATCACATGTACTTTATATACTATTAGCCCCCATCAGATAGAAATCAGATTTGAAATGTCCCCTTGATTAGCCGCTATAATCCTGTGAACCCTACTCTGTAATGTGACAACTGTAAAATAAATAAATAAAGCAAACGCGACGTGCCTTCAAAGTATACGTAGAATGACAATCTCTTCAAACTAGAAAGGCCGTGACAAGAGGCCGCTTCACATGTCCATCCCTATGCCACCAAACGCCGAAAAGAGGGGGTATCGACTGATCAACCTCTCAATACTCTCAAGAAACCGGAATGAGTGTCGCATTCTACCGGGCGCGGGTGTATTTTCCGTGGCGTTGCTCCTGGCGGAGGCTCTCTTCTTGACTAGGAAGAGGTGCACGCCGACGGTTTGGATCCATGTCGGCAGGGTTCATTAGAGGAGGGATGGGCAGCTGGAAGTTGCCCGGTGGAGGAGGAATCCCTCCCGGCGGTGGGATCAGACCTGGAGGAAGAGATCCTGGGGGAGGTATTGGGACGCCGGCCTGTTGCATCAGCTCGAGGAGCTTTGCCGGGTCTGGAGGGTTATGGGGATCAAGACCAGGCAATGGAGGCGGCGGTGCTCCGTTGAAGCCGGGGATGCCAAATGGTGGCGGAGGCGGCGGCGGAGGAGCTACTGAGCCAACACCGACACCGGGCACAATCGGCGGCGGTGGGATACTCGAACCGAGGCCAGGAACAGCACCTCCGCCCAAAGGTAGACCAGGGATGCCCCCAGTCAAGCCAGGAACAGTGGGCTTTTGAGCATCCTGATCGACAAGAGCATCCATCTCGTCCTCCAGCTCGCGCTGCTCTTCCTCCTGGCGCTGACGGCGATTGCCGCGACGATCCCATGTGCCTTGTGCTTCGGCAGCTGCCTCGCCAATATGGTACCGGTCCTGGAAGATTTCAGTCTCACCAGGTCGGGCACGACCCCAGAATCGGGTGATGCGGTCGTTGGAGCCGGACGCCAGGATGTGACCCTGGGGGTGCCAGTCCAGAGACCAGATGGCGTAGTCGTGTGCAAACGGAACCTTGTGCGTGGGCCAAACTGATTGGGCTGGAGTCGATTCTGGGTCGAGACTGTCGTAAGGGGCGACGGTCAGAGGTTGGCCAGCTGGGGGGTTCGGTGTGTCCAGCATATAGTGAAAGAGTGATCCGTCCATGCCACCGGTGGAAAGGAGGTTGGCATGAATGGGGTGGAAGGTCAAGGTTGATATGTCCTTTTCATGACCCTTTAAGAGTACAATGTCTCTCATCATTCGCAGATCAAAGACGCGGGCCGTCTGATCTCGAGCCGACGTTGCAAAGCACCGGCCGAGTTTCTTCTCAAACAAGACTTTGGTGATGGTGCTCTTGTGGCCGTGGAGAGTGGTCAGGCTTCGCGCTGTCCGAGGGTCCCAAAGCTTAACCAAGTGGTCCTTGGAACCAGAAATGATTAAGCCTTTGGTTGGGTGCCAGTCAACAGACTTGGCATCCCAGCCGTGACCTTCAAGCTTCAACTCTTCCTGACCCAGAGCAAAGTCGAAGATTTTGAGGGTAGAGTCGTCCGAGGCAGTGACAAATTTGGAGTCATTGGGACTGAACGCAAGATCTCGGATTGGGTCTGTGTGAGCATTGATACTCTTGACGTTGTTGAAATTTGGCTGCCAGTACTTGATGACTCCGTCGTGGTCGCCAGATATCAGCCAGTCATCGCTGTGCGAGTACTCCAAGGCACGGATAGCGGAATCATGGGCCTGCATAATCGTCTCAAAATTGAAGCCGGTGCCGTTCCAGAGGGTGAATTCACCACTGGTTGACGCTGTAAGCAGCCTGCGTCCCTCAGGGGTCCATCGAACAACATTGATAGGATGCTTGATTTTGTTCAGCGATGAGTGGAGGTGCTTGGCCGGGATGGAATCAGCGGGAAATACTGGTCGTCCTGCTGGTGGAATCATCTCCAGGAGCGTTAGTCTACTTCATTGGTCGAGGCCCTGTTCAAAGGTCGATTTGTTTCTCACATCCACGATGTAGCTCGCGCTTGGGCGTTCTCTCTCGCCAGTATAGCCGCCTCTGTAGTTAGGAGCGCGGTCTCGCATCCAGTGAAGGACACTTGCGCTGTAGTCCGTCACAGGCCCTGTTGAGTTACCGATTAGCCCCTCCTGCTCTGAATGATACTGAACTATCTCATCCTGATCCATGGTTGACAATATTGGTGGATTAGGTTAAACCGGGTGACAAGACAGGAGGTATGCTCAAGTAAGCGGCGCCATAGACATCTCAGCAGGGCACTTGCCCAAACATGTTTAACAGCCAGATAGTAGATCATGATTTCCGTTCAAGGCAAACGAAGAGACTATCAAGAATAATACTCTGTATAAGGGACAGCTTGCCGTAGGGTATATCTACCCTTGCAAGCTATTGGCTAGCCGAATAATGGGCATCAAGCTACGAACGAGCAGGCTCCAGAGGGTAAAGACAAAGACCACAAGAGGGGTATATAGTGTGAATGAGATCTGGAGTATGAAGAATAGACTCACTTCGACCGCGAACTTTCATATATGCGCCATCTTGGCCCTGGCCGCCACCTCCTCGATCGCCATGCTCACCACGAGGCTCATAAGCCATCGTCGCGTGTTCTCGTTAATCGCTGATCATGCACCGGAGTGGTAAATTCGACAGATGCTACGGATAAGCGGATGAAATATAGTATGACGGTAGTTTTACACGCCTCTCCAATAAGAATAAGAATAATTCTTAGTCGAAATAGGCTTCAATGGACAGTTTGCAGGATTGCTTGGGAAGATGAAAGTCTCATTTCTGTGAGGCCCGCGCCTTGAGAGCGTCAGGCGAAGAACAAGCTCTGATTGGCTGCAGGTCATGTGATGCATGGAGGTCGTTCTGGCCTTAGTCAGCAATCCTAGAATAAGTGCTATATCCATGTGGTAAATCACTCGTACTCTATTGGGGAACATGAGTGGCGGAAACTGGGATGAAATCGGGCCTGATTGCTTCCATTGTCTTAAAGCGTTATCAAAAAACATGAGTGTGACTGCGGCTGTGACTACCGCATGACCAACAGCGAATTCTCACGTGGTTTGCGGTCCACGTTATGGGAGAGAGAAACTCTGGACACTCTCTGCAAGCACGCCGTACGGAGTTTCAGATATGTTGATAGCTTATCAGTTTTCATCTGCAAGGTGTAAGGTGGTAGTACTCCAGACACCATACTAGATTCCATGTATATGCACGCTTGCCACTGCATGGAGCATAAACTTTGCAACGCTGTTGTTAGTGCCTGGGACTAAGAGATGCCTGCGAGGGACTTTGAGACATCGGTAGGTAGAACACGGCTCTACTATTGCATATTCGGTATTCTGCCACAGAGAATTTGCCTTAGCCGGACGAACTGCTCCTGACAGGCTTCCAGATGATGCTCATGCAAATGTTCGGTGCTTGGCAAACCGCAGCTTTCACATGCTTTTTTTTTCTCTCCCAGGCGTTGCAACCTGCTAACTGCACTGAAGCAGATGCCCTTGTTCAAGCTCCTGCGCCCCACCGCTTCGGAACCCAGCAGTCGATACCCGCTATTTTCCGCTAATGCCGCCACTGGTCAATTTGACGATACAGCGACTAACGCAGGCCATGTACCTGTTATTACCTTCAACCGCACTTAAAATACGAAGTCACCTTTTTCATGCGGTTTTGGAACAAGGGAAATGCCCTCTCAGCCCGGCTCCATCTTAGTCGTCACCCTTACATTAGATAGGACTCATTTCGGTCGACGCCGATACGTTGGATTTACACCGAGGCATATGAGGCAATTTGCCGACCGGCAGAGTACATATCAGTACACGTAGAGAACACGGCATTAGTACGAGGTACGCGGGCTGCGGCAAGATAAACTCAATGCTGGCCAAGAGCCCCTCCCTTAGTAGCTGAAGCTTGATCAGTAGTAGCTTGTCCCTGTTCATGTCCCTCGATCCATCAGTCTCTTCTGCCATCTCCCATCTCAGGTTGAGGCAGAGTTTGCCCCCTCTCTTGCAAGTTACACCTACAGGACATCGTAGGACCGAGACCGAGCATGGCGCCTCCTGCAGAGTCCTCCACGACGACAAGCGTCGAGGCCTCTACCGGCTCCGTGTCTCGCCGCCACGCCTCACAAAGTGAAGCAGATCTAACGTCGGTGGAGCCCGTCAACGGCACGACCAAGAACCGGCTCTCCAAGACACCGCCGAAGAAATATCGCCATGTCGCTGCGGTGCATTCCCAGACGCGGCCGTCGTGCCTGAGCCATGATTCCCCTGCGGCTCCCAGCTTTCTCGGATTCCGCAATCTCATGGTCATTGTGCTGGGTACGGCTCTCTTCTGAATGGCGACTATTTTTCTTCTCTTGATGAGAACATCTCCCTAACGTATAATTAGTTGTTGGCAATCTCCGATTGATGATTGAGAATATTCAAAAGGTGCGTAGAGGAGCGGCTTCGACATGTCGCGAGACATGAAAGTGGATGACGTAGCACTGACATGCATCTGGCTGTGGTGTAGTACGGCGTCTTAATTTGCATCAGGTGTCACGACTACAGACGTCAAGATGTGCTCTTGGGTCTTTTGCTTTATTTTCTTATCCCCTGCCATTTGTTTGCAGCATACCTGATAGAGCTGGTCGCTGCCAAGCAGGCTGAGGGATCCAGGAAGCGAATCAAGGACAACAACTCTGGCCCGTCAGAGGCAGAGCGCAAGAAGTTCCACTCAATCTGGGTTCTTGCGGCTTTGGCCCATGGAATCAACATCACTCTTGCCCTTGCAATTACCACCGTTGTGGTCTACTTTTACGTCTATCATCCGCTGATTGGCACTTTGACCGAGATGCATGCCATCATTGTGTGGCTCAAGACGGCATCATATGCATTCACCAACCGAGATCTTCGTCACGCCTATCTGCATCCAGTTGAGGGAGAGGAAGTGCCTGATTTGTACAAATCCTGCCCCTATCCACAAAACGTGACGATGAAGAACTTGGTATACTTCTGGTGGGCTCCGACTCTGGTGTACCAACCTGTTTATCCGCGGACCGACAAGATTCGATGGGTGTTCGTGTTTAAGCGACTAGGAGAGATCTTTTGCCTTGCTGTGTTCATTTGGGTTGCCAGTGCCCAATATGCCACCCCCGTTTTGCGCAACTCTCTCGACAAGATTGCCTCTCTTGATTTGCCCAACATCTTGGAGCGGCTTATGAAACTCTCGACAATCTCTTTGGTCATCTGGCTGGCCGGCTTCTTTGCGCTCTTCCAATCTTTCTTAAACGCCCTTGCCGAGATAATGAGGTTTGGCGATAGGTCATTCTACGACGACTGGTGGAACAGTGAGAGCTTGGGCGCCTACTGGAGGACGTGGAACAAGCCTGTTTATACTTACTTCAAGCGCCATGTCTATATGCCCATGATCGGACGAGGCTGGAGCCCGGCCGCTGCCAGTTTCGCAGTCTTTTTTGTTTCTGCCGTTCTTCATGAAATTCTTGTTGGTGTTCCAACACATAACATTATCGGTATGTCTTGGATGGAGAGGTTCAATTTGAGAGTTTGTTTTCTAATCGTTTTCACACAGGCGTCGCTTTCTTCGGCATGTTCCTTCAGCTTCCTCTCATCGCCATTACTACTCCGCTGGAGAAGATGAAACTCGGTCATGGTGGCCGCATTCTTGGAAATGTCATATTTTGGGTTTCGTTTACAATCTTTGGACAGCCATTCGCGGCCCTGATGTATTTCTACGCTTGGCAGGCCAAGTATGGCAGCGTGAGTAGGTTACCTCAGATGGTGCACCACTAACGCGGGCCTGGGGTTTCGCTTTGGACATGTACACAGCGGTTTTGCTTGATTGCGTAAAGTTAAAGGACGTCAATAGATATACAGACGTAAAAGATACACGATATGGGAGGAATTTTGAATATATTCTCGGCCAAGTGCGAGGAATACACAAAATGAAATTGATGGCCATTACAAGACATCTCGATACAATTTGGATTCACAACCTTTATTAACCCTGAGCAATGCTACAATGCTAGCTAGAATAAATCATGGTTCCTCCCCCACAGTCGTGCCCATTTTGCGCCCATAGCTCTATCGTATAAAAGGTATCAATGTACCAACCCTCTTCTTATAGTTTACATAGTCATCGCCAAAGAATTCGATCAACTTTCCTTCTTCATGACGGATCCTATCCTGGAAAAACTTGTACAACACAGCCGAGTAAGCAGCAAAGCAAAGCACATTGCCCAGCACGAGCTGCGTGCCCAAGCCCCAGTAAAAGAAACCAAAGTAGCTGGGATGTCTTATCCACCCATAGATGCCGGATGTCACGAGAACATGTGATTGTGCTCTCCTTGTTTGAATTTGGTGGTTGAAACTAGCTCCAGCGTGCAGCATCGCCATGGAACGAACAGCCTGGCCGACGAGAACCATAAAGAGGCCTATGAAGAGAAGCACTTGGCCAGAGCCAAAGGGGGCCCAGTGTCGACCAGGAAAAAAGACGGAGACGATGGTACACTCTATGAAGGCAGTAGAGTGGGCGATGGCGTAGGACGGCCAGTTCGCCGTGAGCAGGAAGCTGTCGATGCCGGCGACGATGGTGTTCCGCTCAGCCGTGGTCCAAAACTCCAAAAAGTGAAAGGTAGAGAGGGCGAGGAGGAAGAACGGGACGCGCCAGATGGGACTGTCTGTGAGGAGCAGGACGCTCACGATGCCGACGATGCTGATGGCGAAGGCGATGCCCAGGCAAAAGGCGCGGAGGGCGATTCCGGAGAGCGACTTGGGCTGGCCGGGGAAGAAGGGCTTGAGAGGGTTTTCGGGCTGGCGCGGCAGCGGAGAGTTGCGGCCGGGATCTGAGAGGAAGGGGGGGAGGTCGTCGTGATGGCGAGGTTGAGGGGCGAATGAGTCTGCCATGGTGGATTGCAGGTGCTCTGGTGAAACGATCGGTTGAGGGAAAAGAAGTTGATGGAGTCGGTGAGACTGAGTCGCCAGTAATGAGTGCCCGTCTATATCATGATCCCTCGTGATGGTCTCTGCTTTGGTGTGTGATGGTGGTGATAACGTCTTGTTTGTGGTTTTTTATGCAACCCGCACGTGAGGATACGTAGGCGAGATTCGGCTTCACAGCTGGGACAAGCCGCGCACGGGGACTCTTCTGTCCTATTATAAGGCTGAGGCTTGGCACGGTAACAGAGAGTGAGAAACGAGGTTATTCTTGTCGAAGATTGTTCAGCAGAGAACAATACATGCTTGTGTATCGCAGCAATGCAGGTGCCAAGGCCTGGCCATGGCGAGAGTTGCTTACGGGCTGTTTGTGGTGGGGTTCAGGGCCTTGCAGAGATTCTCAGGGGCGCAGCTCTGGGGCTAGGCCAGTAGCCACACCTTGGCAGCTACACCATAAATTGACGGTGGCACAGTTGGGGATGCATTATCCAGAGTGTGTCCCAAGTCTTGAACTGCATTTGATTGTTCTACATCTTCTTCGAAAACCTTAATTGTTTCATGTACTAGTACATAGGACTTCAAAAGCTTCCGGACTGTGCCCGTCAAGTGGCCCTGTCTCTCATGAAAGCTGTGTACAGGACATCTGTCGAAGCATCTACAACTCCAACGGGCAGCATAACCAACAAAGTCTCCACAAGCCACCACTTTCTCCGCGATCTGGACCCTTCTATGGGTTTCGGAGTCGATTGTTGCTAGTAGTTGATATGGACATGGCCTCTGTCTGTGTCAACACATCTGTCGTAACAGTGAGGTAAAGGCAGCGTTTTACCTCATTGTCACCTTGTCTAGCTCTAGAGCTGACTTGTTGGATAAAACCACGGCAGTAGTAGTGAGCTAGCGATGGAGCAGACACGTAGCACCCCAATATGTCGCTGCGGTACATCACACCTCTTTGTTCATTGCGTAGTTGAGTAATAAACGCGGTGTCAATCCATACGGTTTGCTCCATAACATGGCAGTACGGTATGCCTCTCATTAGTCGATTCTTAATCAAGATTTCGGGTTGCCGCTCTTCACAGACCTCCCTGAATCGAAAAGGAGGAGATGATGAGCGTCAGAACACTGATAAAGCCCCAGGTACAGGGAATCCAAGTATTCATCTCGTAGTATCCCGCCTGGTAAACAGCGCCAAGCCTACACAACAGAGTCAGCATTTCTTTGTACTTGTTTCGTAGCCCATCCAGCACTGACATAACCCCAACAATGGTGCCAGATAGTACAGCCTCAAGCCCAGCGACTCCCAGATAGACAATCGGTGTGATCCAGAGATACTTCCACGACGACTTCTTCCACCCGTGCGTGAACATGGCGATGAAGACGGCGCCGAGGTGAAACAGCGCGAACACGATGAGGGTCCATATTACTGTGAAGCGCCAGACGTCTTTGATGTAGTAGAGCGTGTATCTCTTGTCGGGCGTGGCATCGAATAGAGTGTGGACGTTGAGGGACGGGAACGGAGGAGTGGTGTAGTTTGCCGGAGGAATCAGGCGGCGCGTCATCTGCGCGATCGAGTGTGTTGACTGCAGGCTGTTGGTCAATAGTCTGATGTTTCTCCTGCGTAAACACATCTTACATGTTAAGATGTCTCCCTTTCCGCTGCTCTCTCCCGCGCTGGGATTGCCGATGAAGGCGCATGTGTCGTTGTATGATGCACAATAGCGAGCCTCTCCCTAGCTGCAGAGCTGCAGAGCTGCTGTAGCATGTCGCTGCCAACCGTAAAAAGACCAGACGGTAATTTCGGGGTGGACCCCCGGAGACGTCATCCCTAGAGCCTCGGCAAAAGCATGCACTAAACCACAGCAGCATCAATCGCGTCTGCATCCAGCCTTTTGCTTTCGATCAAACAACAACTTCATCGCCTGTCAAGGGAGTGCATTTCGCATTGTAGCCGCGCCGCAGCAGATGCATCACCATGCCTGCTGATCAACTCCTCAACACCGTCTTGCAGCATTACCAGGACCTTCACGATGCGGCCAAGACGGAACAAATCATCGGCACGACCGCACACCTGCTCTCGCAGCTCTCCAACCCACTCAACCTCGGCGTTCTCACATCGCAGCTGTTGACGGCTCCCGCAATCTGGGAGAGACACGATGGGTTGCGCACCTCGGTCCGAATCATCAGCATCTACAACACCGCCGCGATTCGCGTTTGCGAGCAAGAAGTCCTGAACGACAAGAACAAGCTCGAGGGCCGGCCTCTCGAGGGAGGTGCTATTAAGTGCGATGCCTGGACGCGGGCGGTTGTCAAGGGCGCCGATGAATATTCAAAACGGTGGCAGCATCTGCTGGTTCTGACAGGCATCCTCATGGGGATGGAGGGCAACGACAGACGTGCACTCTCCAGCAGCCTCAGAGGGATCATTGGGCAGGCGGTTGTGCTGGCGGCCAATATGGCACTGGAGAGTCACAGACAAGATGGACCGCTCGCTGGCGCTTCAATTGCGCTGGCACTCAATTTCTCGTTTCCTCTACTCTCTGATTTCCACAAGGCTCAGATCAACTGCAATGAGCTATTGCCCGTCACTATCTGGGCTCTCACCGGCCCGGAAGGCTTCTGCGAAGGCCAGTTTCTTCAGGTTATTGGAGAGAGCATCACTGAGGCTCCCGGCCAGCTCCTCTCCTGGACCTCGCAAACCCCCTCATTTCAACTGCTGCAGGCCATGGACCAGCGCCCCCTGATGGGAAATGTTGGCCCCTTGTCGAAGCTTGCAGCCTACGCAGCTCTACATGCCACTGATACGGACGTTGTGTTGGCCGCACACGATGCGCTGCTAGTTTTCTCGCGTCAAGTGCTGGACGCCTGGCAGTTGAATCGATTCAACGACATTGACCCGGCGTTTGAGGCCAACAAGCTGAGCCTTGAGACTCTCCAAAAGACGTGGCCGGTGTTGTGGCAGGTCTTGCGAAAGCTGCTGTTTGGCGCTGTGGCTGTTGTCCAGGCCATCGTTTCACGCAGTCTGCTTGATCATCGCATGTTGAATCCCGTGGCTGCCTCAGGAATTGCTGCCAAATCACTGCACATTCTGCGGAATTTGTACTTCATCTCTAACCGGAACAACAACAGCGCTTTCCAGGTGTATACTTTCAGTTACCTGACCTCCATCGACAGCCTCTCGCGGCACCCGGCCGCATCTGAGCTGTTCCTCAAGGAGATTCGCCCCCTGGAAGCTCCCACTGCCCCAATCACACACCTCTCAAGGACGCTGGACCTGTTTTTCTTGAACGTTGCCGAGCACCTCCCCCTGGTGCTCTCTACAGCAGCCTGCGAAGCTCTAGTCATCAAGCCAGCAACTGCCTACCTCTCCCACGAGGGCCCCATGACTCCCTCCACGGTCGAACTCTTTGAATCATCTCACAGTGCCATCCTCTCTGTCCTCTCCTGCCCACAGCATAGTTCACTCACCATCGACATCACTCCCTTCTACATTATCAAGCTATTCGAATCCTTCCCCCAACAAATCTCCCCACGGCAGTTCCGGGTCGCCTACAAGACTGTCATGCAAATTGTCTCTCCTCCTAATCCTATCGCAGCAATGGAGCCTCATCTCGCGGAAACCCTCCTCGAAATGCTTCGAGATACCATCCCCACCGCGGGCACCACGCTTCTGCCTCAATCCCCGGATACTGCATCGCCAGATGGTACTTCACCAGAAGATGCTACCCAGGAGGCCCCAGAGCTTTTCTCAGAGCAGAGTTCACTCACTATGGCCCTGGTTGATACGCTGCCATTCTTGCCTCTGCCTTTGGTAGAAGAGTGGCTTACCATCACGGCACAGACTTTGAATATGATTGCAGATCCCAAGCTTCGAGCACCAGTGAAGAAGCGGTTCTGGGACATTCTCATCAATGGAGAAATGGATGTAGAAAGAGCAGCCATCGGAGTAGCCTGGTGGGGGGATCAGGGTGGAAGGGAACTGTTCACCTCCAAGCCTGCGCCCGAGACAGCCATGATGAGCGGCGCAATTGTGTCTAGTGACCTGGTGAGCAGCAAGTTGTAAGGGCACGGGATGCATCAACGCATCACAGATATGTGATGGAATTATGGAAACCACAAATGGGGGTTCGTCATCACATCTTGCAGCTTCTTAGACTTATTCACCGACGCTGGAGCTTGGTCATCTAACATGGATAAACGTGTGTTTAATGCAAACAATATTAGTTTTGGGGAGCTTGGTTACATGGCGCGTTTTTTGTTTGGCGATGATATACTGATGGTGGGAAATGCACTTAAGGCCAGCGTGATCCCGGGCTGGTGAGGGTATATACCAGAGCCTTTAAAATACATAGGATTAATACACTTGGACATAGACCAAGCAAAAAGAAATGATGTTCAGCAAGGCTTGCTTCGCCCTGGGGAGTTTGTGCTTCTCATTGTCGGTTTCATCATCCACGACCGCTGAACCGCCGCGTGGTAGCCGGAACACCATGATATATCCATTCTCTCCCATATCCTCTTCCAGCATGACCGCCGAGGCAGCTCAACCGACCGCCGCCGCTTGGGATTCTTCGACAGACGAGCCCGACATGCCGCAGCTTACTCAGAGTTCCAACACGTCTCACAGTTGCGCCAATGTTTTCTGTCTGCCGCTGTCGCCCTGGACAAAGTCTGAGCCTCGGCCAACACCCGTGCCTACATCAGTAACAACTGCAAGCGCAAGCGGCTGTTCCCAGGTCCTCTCTCCAAGTCGGACACCCTCAGCCATGAGCTTCAACTTCACCGACTCGTGCGATTCTAGCACGGACATGGCGGAGGACTGCCGGGCAACGCTCAACTGCGACACCGCGAGAGGTCTGTATCCAACATGCGAGCGCGGCGAGTGTCAGTGTCTAGCCAAGGAGTGTTTCCGGAGATCCATGTGCCTCGACCTTGGCCAATGTCGAGACTTTGATGACCACGTCTGCATAAGGGAGAGAAGCGATGGCGAAGGCGTGGGCGTCTGTGGATGTGAGCCACGAGTGGCAAAGTGTCTCTTGGAGGAGAATCCGCACCATTATTGCGCGGCGGGATCGAATTGTACGGAAAGGCACTTTTCACTGTATCCCGAGTTTCCGTATTGCAGTACGGGGGATTCGAGGTATCCGCTGGGGAGATGCGAGTGTCGCCATTTTGATTGCTTTAGGACGGGGGATGCGAGGGATTATGAGGTGTGCAAGGACTTGGTTGATTGTGAGTCAAACCCGCTGGGCCCATGGCCTTATTGCAGTCTCAAATATGGTGACGAGAGCAAAGGAAAGGAGGATGGATATTGCACGTGCGGATCGTGAATTATTTACTGCGTAATGTATTTCGAGGGCCAAGCTTTGCTTTAAATTATTAGGACTACCAAGCTCTGGATACTTGGTGTTCGATTCTAAGCAGGTTCGATCAAGGTTTCATGATATACAGGTTGTTTAATACCGAGGTAGAACTGCCAGAATACTTTCAGCTGCAGATTAGTAGAACCTCCAATCTCTTTGATTACCTGTACCTAGCAGGTTCGTACGCATGTAGAGTCCTCTTGCCAGTTTGGCAAGGCGTCCCGACATTCCCACTCTTGCAAGAGCATAAGCTATGGAAGGCGCATTTGGACTCTGATCTCCAAGCCTTTTTCTCTCTTTACCTACCTCTAGGTAGACCCGATGACATTTTCGAATTCAACACCAGAAACTTCAGCACCATCCAGCCAATTGGACATTTTCTAGCCTCTCAATATGGGCACTCATTGATCGTACCTCTTTTCCTACAATCACGTACTGATTCATCTTCATCAGCCGCATGCGGTATCTCTTCACGCTTCCTACCCAATTCCACGCATACCTCAAGCAATGCCAGCCAAAAGACCACGATGGAATACCAATACACGAACGAATGATGCAATACCGCCGTGTTTCTAAACACCGCATCCTCCAGCCTGATTTACTCATGATGATACTATACTGGGTTTGCCAATGATGCCATGTCGCGTCATATCTTACCAGGTTTCTATCCAGAGGGAAAAACCCGACCCCTCCTTTTACTATCAACACCCGCCTCCTTCGCCTCTTCAGGGTGCAGCGAGCGAGCGTCAAGATCGGCAAGAAACTGGCCGGCCATCACATCATCTAAACCAGAGACCCCTCCTTACGTGCGCAATTGGCATTCCACCCCAATGGCCAATGGCTCGCAGTAGCCACTGCTTTGTGAACGTGGTAAGTTCTTCTCCAACCAGGGACTTACGGACAGGCTTTTGCCTACGGCGTCCTCGGGTAGGTACTAATATCGCTGGCATCGCATCGTTGCTAGTACGTAGATGGCTCAATCCGTCCTTTTCACTAGCGTCGCCAGATCTGCAGCTAAATAATCGCAAGATGCGTTCATCAGAGTTCCAACGAGGCACTTCTCTTTGTCCAACCCGTTATTACCCCGCCGCCAACTCTTGCGAAGCTTTGTCTCAGATGACGACCACATCCTCCAATTGCAAATATCAGGAACTAGCAACGCCACATGCCCATCAGCATCCGAATCTTGCTGGATTTTCTGCGGACATGCCGGGACAGGATGGAGGGGAAGCTGAAGCCATCCAACAATACAGGGTTCATCCAGGAGAGAAACTGGTTGTGAATCCATTAGAATGGGAAGATGAGCAAGACGTACCTGTCTAGGAAATAGGCCTTCTGCATCAATGAGGCAAAGCACGCAAGCACGTTGACGATGAAGCTCTAGTTCACCAATAATGCAAGCCGCTAACAGGGGGTTCACAGCTGAGCATGGGCCCTTGGCGGGGTTTCTGGGGAAGAATACTGGAGAGGTCCATGACGACTTCAGCTGTGCCGGGGTGTCTCAATACTTCGCGCTCCCTTCCATTGAGTCGAGGCCAATTTTATCAGCATTCCGGGTGGGGCCACCTTCTCCAGACACCCTGTGGCGTGCTCTGTGGCAGCTCTCCAGAGCATACTGAGCTTGTCTAAGTCGGATAGCTTCGAGTATGAATGCGATGGGTGCTTATTCTATGACATAGGCGCATCTCTCTCCATCTCTATGGTATATAAAGGGGTGTGTGACGTCTCGTTCTTGTGTATAAAGTTTTAAAGACAAAATCTTCAATTCAATTGTGACCATCATTATCATACAATCAAGCTTTCTCTAGGCAAAGAAATCCTTCAAAATGTCTTACGGCGGTGACAACAACGATAACGTGAGTGTGATACAAGCTACCTCTGGTTTCTTCTTATCAATTGAATATGAACTAATCATAATTTATCTTGGATGTCATAGTACGGCGTGAGTCAACACGATACTTTGAGAAGAAGATGATATACCTATATCGCATTACAATTGCTAATATCAATCAGTCTCGCCGCTCTGATCAAGACAACTTCGGTTCCGGAAGAGACAACTTCGGCTCTGGAGGAGACAACTTCGGCTCTGGAGGAGATTCATTTGGCTCTGGAGGAGACTCGTTCGGCTCTGGTGGAAATCAACAACAATACGGCTCCGGCAACCGCCGCAATGATGACAGCTCATTTGGCACCAGTGGACAGGGTGATTACGGCTCTGGAGACACCTATGGCAGCTCTGGCAACACCTACGGCAGCTCTGGCAATGACTCTTATGGATCTGGGGGTGACACCTTTGGCTCCGGCAACCGTAACCAAGACTCATCTTTCGGTTCTGGTGGCCGCCAGGATGACTCGTATGGCTCCTCGAATAACTACGGCTCGTCGGACACCTACGGTTCCAGCGGCCAACGCAATGACGATAGCTCGTACGGCTCTGGCAACCAGGGCGGATCGTACGAGACCTCGGGCCAGCGATCTTCGGGCAAGAGTGAAGGTCTCTTTGAGAAGGTGAAGGACAAGGTGTCGCACATGGGCGGCCGTGGCAACCAGGGCGGCGATAGTAACTACTAAGATACCATGTGCAAGGATGGGATGAGTTGAGCTGAGAGATATTGAAGTAATAGTTTGATCTAATGACAACCTCAGCATGGATATGGCTGCTATCTATTGGATTCTTTCCAAGGTTTTCATAAAGTAAAACCAAAACAACAAAACAACAAAATCAAATGTCGTCTACTGTTTGCTCGAAGGCTGCTGCGTTAGAAGCTTTTCCACCTTGACCAATATTACTCCATCCGTCGCTTCTCCCTTTGTATTCCTCAAGTGTACAAATCTATATCCTTGGCCCAGCCTATCAAGTCTAATGCACGCCCAGGCTGCTAAATCATCCCTACCAATCTCGTCATCCCTGACCGTAAACCTCACAAAGGTGAGCTCTTCGACTAGCCCTGGAACGTTTTTAAACTCGAGCTTCTCTGCCCCGAGATCAAGGTCGCGGCCCTTGTGCGTCTTGGTGCGGACCTTGTACTCGCTCTCGTGGACGTGGCCGTCGCTTTCGGCGTGGCTATTCTTGGAGCCCTCGACGTGGAGCTCGACTTTGATGTATGGCTTGAAGCCCTTTGCGGACTTCTCGCCGGCTGGGAGAGGGATGTTTTGGGCTGCGAGGAAGGTGAATGCCAGGGTGACGGATTTGCGGGTGATGGTGATGGGGGTGGCGGCGTCTTCCGCTGCGGTAAGTTTAGGGCGGTATCCTAGGGTTTGAAAAAACAATTAGCTGCGGGACTTGCACTTGAATATCAAGCAGTATCACAGGAATGTGTGAATTTAAGGAGCACGATGTAAACTTACCTTCTGGCTTCAGGACATAGCCCCCTGTCCCGGTAAACATGCCCTCGTTGAGCATCATGCCTTCATCCGTCTCTTGCCAATTCAGCGCGATAATCTGAGCACCTCCACCCCAGAAAATGGCCGGGTTGAGATTGGAGGATCCGATTCGGAAGCCGGCAGGATAGGCTCTCAGCAGATAGCGTTTATTGTGGTTAAAGAGGACGGACCACTGCTTCTCATGGTAGTCGATGAACTTCTTCTCGGAGATGGAGAAGATGTGTGTGGGCATTTTGGCCTCCGGCTGCGTCCAGCCCTTGAAGGTCACGCCCTGGGTGTAGATGGCGAGCCGGGCAAGCTCCTGGATGGTCTTTGCGGGCTTCGGCGGCGGGCCTGCGGGCATGGGGACTTGCTCGCTGCGGATGGTGTCGACCTTGTCCAGGGGCGTGCCGGGCGGGACGTATTTGACCTTGATGAGGATCTTTCGGCGCAAGGATTCGGGGCTGGGCAGCGCTTCGATATCGGCGTCGGGCTCTGCCACCAGCAGTCCAGCCCAGACCTCCTTCATGATGTCCACCATGACAATCTGCTGCTTGGCGCTGCAGTGGACTTCAAGGCTCACAATCAGTGGCATTTCAGAGGCGACGAATGCGCTGTCGCGGATGGCCTCGCAGACGTCCCTGAAGCGAACGTCTTTGGTGAGCGTGTATCCATGCAGCACTCTGGGCTCTACAACGCTGCTGGAGTCTGACTTTGGCGTGACGGCCTCCTGCAATTCAGCCACCTTCTCGATCGCCTTCTCTTCCATCTTCTCCACCTTCTTGCCAATGTTCATCTTGTCCATCTTGCTCTTCAGCTGGTCGCTCCACCCGCCCTTCTTGTCCTTGTCCTTGGACTCCTTCTTTTCCTTCTTCTCCTTCTTCTTCTTCTCCTTGAGGGCTGCCTTTTTGGCCGCTGCTTCGTCGTCGCTTGTCTCGCTTTCTGAAGACTCCGCGTCACTCTCATCACCATCCCACACGTCAATCTCGACGCACCGACATCCTCTCAGCAGGACATTGGTGTAAGCCCCAGTGGTACTATCACTCGACAGTTGGTTGCCCGTCAGATACGTGTTGTGGCTCGAGCTGATGAAGTAGCTCGAGAGCGGCCATGAAAAGTCCTCTTTATTCACCGGCAGCACGGCACTGCTGTGAGAAGATGTCATGAAGGCCAGGAAGCCGCTGAGGTCGAGATCGGGCGTGCCGAGCAGCTGTGTCGCAGCGTCTGCGGTGGCGTTATGGCCCTGGACCTTTTGCACAAAGACCCTGACCTGCTCACTCGTCCATTTCCCCTCTGGAGTTGCGTGAGATTCGAAGAGGCGCTTGAGGTAGGCGAGCGTGCTGGTGCTGAGGGCTTCGATGGTCCGTTTACCCACGCCTGAACCCCCGCCAGACTGAAGCGAGGGGCTGCCGGATTGATCTGGAGCAGCCATGGCGGAGAGAAGGGCGATGGACGACGGAGAAATACAAACGATATGAAATTATGTTTTTTTCGTATCCTTAATAATTCTAGGATGACGCAGGAGTGTCAAATGATTGGGAGAATATGAGAGGGAGTATGAGAGAATATGAACGCCGAAGTGATGATGCTGGGGGAAAGAGTCTCGTGAGAGAGAAAGCAGGCGTTCTAGACCTCCAAAAGCAACCCCCCCTACCCTGCAGCGAGCCAAGCAAAGACCACCGACTAGACACTCTCGTCGCAGCAACTCAGCACACGAACAGCTTACGGGTTGCCTCTGAATCGGTGCAGAAAACGGGGGGCTCAGCCTCTCTGAGCCCCTCCATGCAAAACCGCTGGTGGAGCCGTGAATCGCTGACAGCTGGACTTTAAGAAGAGGGGCAAAAAGGGCCCCTAAATTGGGCGATCCCCTTATTTTGACCACCTTGGCTTGGTAAGAAATCCAGTTGCTTTTGTTGTCATGGTTGACGCATGCATAGAGTCCTGTAGTGTATAAATCATCATCATTAATATGTATATGCAATGATGTATATCCAATAGAGCATACAAAGACATGTTAACTTGGTGTCTCATTTCACCGGTAGCAATACTCATCGTTCCGATATAATCATGTAGCCAAGTGAATTAGTATGTAGAAAGATCTTATAGATATGGATAGGCCTTGTAGATATAGATAGACATGTAGAATATAACATATAAAGATACCCAAAACTGCACATGCAGCGTGGATAATCTACAAGTATTCACACACCCATATGCTCATCCCTTCTTCTCCCTCGACGATTCTGCCCTGCGCCTATCAAGAAACTCCTCCATGTCAACATGCACCCTCATTCCCTTCGACGTCATGGTGTTATACACTGCCTTCAGCTCATCCGATTCCATATCCCGAATCAAAGTCAGAAAAGCCTCCATCATCACCTCCTTCGATCCAGGGCAATGCCTTAGTGCCCGGTAAAACACATCCTTCGCCTTTGCGCGGAACTGCTTCTGGCCGTTGCAGAATCGAATGTAAGACATCCACAATGCGGGACTGTTCTGACAAACGTCACTCGCCAGAGCTTGCTCAAATGCAGTCTTTGTCGTGTTAGCGTTGCCATGTGTAAGCTCGTGTTGAATGGTAAAGACGCGGCTGCTAATGCAGTCATGCTGCTTCACTAACACATGGTCATACAAAAGGTCACGCGTCTCGTCAATGACCCGAAGACTCGCATCAGCCCATTCAAACATGGAAAGGAAAACTGAATTTCGTGGAAACTGCCTGATGAAACCTGACAGCTTCTCGCGCAAGTATACTCTCCGAAATGGTCTGTGTATCATTTATTAGCTTGATTTCCCATACATTAATTATGTTGAAGGGCATTCAAGACACATGAAGCCGATATTGGTGAGCAGTGTCGAAGATTAGCGATACGATGGATGGAAACATGCTTACCCTTTCGATGCGTGTAGATAAAGTAGATGAGCCGCATACTGAAGGACACGCTCATGCGCCATCAAACGGTCTTGGGACTGAAATTCCTGAGATATCATATCCACAGTGTTCATCGCAGCAGCAATATTGCCTTGCGATACTGATGTGGGTTCTGAATTTCCCGGGGCCGTGAGATATGATAGTAAAATCATGCATTCTGCGAGTACGCTCGCCCCAATGACATCGCCGCCGTGCAAGTATTCGTGAAAATCCGAAGTAAACGTTTGGTGGGCCTTGAGAAGTGTGGTGCTGCCAACTTCAGGAATATCTGTACCTGTATCCTTCCCCTTCAAATTCTCGTCCACCGATGCACAGAGACGCACTTTTGCCAAGTCAATGTGTCCCGCCTCAAACTCCATCCAGCTCCAGCTTCCATAGAACAGGAACTTGTACCACTTCGCAGATAACTAGAAAGCATGTCAGATATATTACTTCTAAACTCTCACATCGAATTTCACACATACCGATGAGGACTCAATTGCAGCTCCCAGCACTTTGCTCGCCACATTTAGATCGTTGGCAGATTCAGCAACTGCATACGCATTATAGAGCTCGGAATTCGCAGGATATTTTTTGAGTAAGGCCTTGGCAGACTTCTTGACGCTCGTCTGCTCATTCGAGAAGACCGTGGCAAGGTAGTATTGAGCCAGACCCTCAATTCCCGCAATGTGAACAAGTTGCCTCAGTGCCTCCGATACCCAGAGCGAGCTCGCTATAGGATTCTGAGACCCGGCAGGAATGTACTGAAACCACTTTGAGCCACCAAATAGTAAAGAAGGAGAAACAGCTGCCTTTACGCCCATGTCAAATCGCGGGTCGCTTTTGTGCCAATTCTCCATATCGTCGTCATGATGCTTAATCGGCTGTAAGTCAATCTTGACGAGCGATGATGAGATGAACTGATCGTCATAGGCTGTTTCTGTCCAATTACTCGCTCTAAATGCCGGAGGAAAGCCACAGAAGAGTAAAAATGCGTCAATCAATTGCGTTGAAACCTCTGGTAGAATAGAGTTCGGTATGAGAAACAGGAATGGCTGGATGTCAGAGTACATTACGACTCTAAACGGATCATCATCTGTTCCATCATCCATCGTCCTTGCTGGCATCTTTGCTGCTTCAGAGCGAGAGTGTTCGAGATGGCCCCAGGCTTTGTAGACGTCTCGTGAGGAAGATGGTGCGACCGGGGCTGCCTCTACCGGCTCTGCTGCATCCCCATCGCTCCCGGTTTCGACGTAATGTCTCCAACCGTTGGCACCGATGTCGCCTATCCGAGGTACTTCGCTTTCCCAGAAATCGTGGAAAGACTCTAGCGCAGACTGCTCGTCCTCAATGGCCAGGGGCCTAAAGAAATTGAGCTCTAAGAGACCCTGCCAAGCCGCAACAGCCAGTTCCTTGTAGCCAGCATCATGGACAAAACGAGTGGCCCTCAGGAACACAAATATGGCTTCCTCAATGGCGCCATTGGGCTGATTTGATGTCAGACGGGAGAGGGTAATGCGTAGCCTGTCTAGAAGTATTTTCTTGATGTCATCATACTGAAATGTTGTGATGTTGGACGTCGAAAAGTCAAGGTGAGTTTTCCACAGGAGAAAATGATTGTCCTCATCCTTTAGGACTTCTGACCATTTCTTTGTAGTCGCTTTGCTGGTCCACACTTTGGCGCCCTCTCGCATCAAGTAAACGAGAACTCGTCTGCGGTCTTCCGCATTTCTTGTGTTCTGAAGAGCCGACTCCAGCATGGATACTTTAATCTCTGCAAAGCTATGAGCTTCGTTTTCTAGTATCGAATGATCCAAATCTTCCCCAGCTTTTAGCAAAGCATCTTGATGGTCTACAAGCTCTAGCCAGGCGTCGATATCTTCTGGGGTATCCTTTACTTGTTTGCTGAGCTTTATGGACTTTTTCTTCAGTGGGTTGCTCTGGTCTACTGCCAGCATGTCGATTGACATATCAGAGTCCTCATCCGAGCCACTCTCTGAGGGCTGCCGTGGCTTGGCCTTGCCCTCAATGGACCGATATGAAGGACGTTCATCATCTGAAGACTCTTCATCTCGCTGATCACGCTTTCGTTTTTTAGATGAACTCAAGGGTAGGTATCCTTCAATCTCATACGCAGTATCTGCATCAACACTCCTAGTAACGGCCCTGATTTGCCTAGATTCCACCCTTGGCATCTTGGATCGAAGCCCATCTCTACCAGAAAAGGTGTGAAAGCCTTCGCCGGGCATGCGGAGACTAAACTGATCTCGTGGGCCATCACGGTGTATGACTAGGCGACCCTCCGTACCAAGGACCCTACCACCCCCATGGCGACGGTAAGCAGGAACCTGTGATCTGTCAATGCCCCCATATTTTATTATTAGGGGGTCGCCTTTGGTGTCAATCACGAAGAGGCCGGGAACACCCTGTGGCTTGGAAACAGACTTCGGCTTTTCTGCTGCATCCGCCGTTTTCTCACGACTGGAAGGCTCCCGACGAGCTCGGTCTCGGTCTCGATCCCGGCGGTGGTCTCTGTGGCGACGAGACTCTCGGCCACTGCGCCTTGAACCACGATCCTCATCAGACCGGCGGCTGCTTGATCTGTCGTCATCGCGAGCATGCTTCTTCCGGCGAATCTCATGCTGCTTCTCGAGCTTTGTGGGGTTCTCTTTGCTTGCGTCCTTGGATTTAAAAGAGGAGAATTTCGGCACGCTGAGCTTTACGTCTTGTTCGTCTGGCGAGGCCATCGTGATGAAGCTCAGCAAGGTGCTTGGAGAAGTACCATGATGTTGAAATTGCGCAGGTTTGATTTATGTAATCTCCAATTGAGAGTGAATAGCCGTTGTTGGATTCGATGCTTGATGTTGAATATATTCTGAATTGTACGATGAATTTGAAGTTGATTCGTGATGAGTGGCACAGAGCATGCATGTACTTTGCAACCTTGATGTCGCGTATCTGGTACAAATCCAGCAACAAAAGAACACGCACGTGATACGGTGCAGCACGTTAATGTCATCCCCTAACAAACAGTGCATCGGCCCCCTGTAGAGCTTCCATGTACCCACTAATCCGGCAAGCTCCCGCCTAATTAGCGAACCCAAACAGGTACCAAACAGCAAAGCTTCTCCACGTCAGCAGCAGCAGAAATAGTACAAGATGTCCCTGAACCTTACGAGGTGCTAACGGCGCTGGGGATAAAAAAAGAAATTGGGCTGCAAACCTCACCGTCCTTCAATTCTCATCTCCCGCTCTCACTCTCTTCATCTCTCTCCCTCTCGTTACAGCGTTGGGCCATGCCCTCAGTCGCACTCTCGGATCATCTCGTTTGGATCCTGCCTGCTGCCATTACGCTTGCCATCGGAATCATCTCCATAATGGGGCTCTTCGGCGGAAACCAGATGCCCGTTGAGGGCAAGGTGTGTAGTAGTAAATCGTCTCAATTGAATGGGTCAATGGCTTAGATTTCGATGCAGACCGTCCTCATCACGGGCGCCTCAGAAGGAATGGGTCTGTCCGTTGCCAAGCAGCTTTCTGGCAAGGGCGCCAACGTCGTCCTCGTGTCTCGCGGCGTCGAGAAGCTAAAGGACGCTCTTGAAGCCGTCAAAGTACGTCTTTGATTTGCCTCGTTTGCCTCATACCACAATTGGTTTCCGCTGACGTGGCGTGTCTTCTTTCTCATCTACAAAGGCAGCCGCCAAGGACAAGGGCAAGCAGCGCTTCCATTACATCGCCGCCGATGTCTCTGCGCCGTCCTACGCTGCTCCTCTCCTGGCTGAGGTTAGGCAGTGGAATGATGGCAAGGCGCCTGACATTGTCTGGTGTATTGCTGGCATGTCCACTCCGGAGCTGTTCATCGACATGGAAATGTCGTCTATGCGTCGCCAGATGGACGTCAACTTTTATGGCACGGCTGAAATGTCCCATGCCATCCTTAGGGAATGGCTGGCACCTGATGCTCCTATTGAGAAGGAGCCCAAGCATCTCATCATGACTGCCAGTGTCCTTGCACTGTACACCATCCCCGGCTACGCACCTTATTCTCCTTCCAAATGGGCCATGCGAGGCCTGGCCGATACCATCTCTCAGGAGGTCATGATGTACCCCCAAAACGTCAAAGTCCACGTCGTCTTCCCCGGAACCATCCTCTCGCCTGGATACTCACGTGAAATCCTTACCACACCAGAGATTACCACAATTCTCGAGTCCAGCGACCCCCAACAGACTCCTGACGAAGTTGCTGAAGTTGCCATCAAAGGACTGGAGAATGGCGAGTACTTTGTGACTGTGGCCTGGCTCGGTGCGCTTATGAAGTGGGGGATGCTGGGTGGTTCGTTCCGCAATAACTGGTTTGTCGACACTGTCATGGCATGGTTTGTCTCTCTCATTTGGATATTCGTACAGCCTGATCTTCATGGAAAGATCAGAAAGTACGGCAAGACCCACGGCCACCCTAGCAAGGCCAAGCAGGATCATCAGGCATAAGTCAGGTTTTGCGTAATTGTGAATAGTATAGACACGTACAATTGCGTGTAAGCTTTTGATCTATATTATTTATTCTCATCCATAGCTTTATATCCTAATTCCTAATCCTATACCTCAATTGTGCATAAAGCATTTAAACACCGCTCCATTTGCCAAACTTGACATATCTCTTGAACATTTCTCTCAGGATGGCTCTTCCACTAGCATCCATTGCGTCGTTCAGAATCTTCCTCACTTCCGGCGGCGTCACGTCGAAAATGGAATTCATCGCTGGCTCAAGAGCCTCGCGCACCTCTCTTGGCACGTCAGCCTCAAGTTGCAGCTTCACGTACTGCATCAGTACCAGGTAGACGTGCCGGCCGGCAGACCGCTTGGCTGCGTCTGTTGCGGAGTCTAGGGCATTCTGGTGCTGTGATCGAGATACAGCGCCGGCAGTCGGTTCGCAGATGAGGGTGATGAGGCGACCGTATAAACGAGCCATCGTCTCTTGCGTTGTGCCATCTCCAGCGCTCTTCGGCTGGTTGATAATTAAGCTGTTGAGTAAGGCTTGCACGGTAGTCAGAAGCAAGTGATGGTGGCCCTCCAACCGTAGGCGGTGCTTCTTGATAATTGTCCCAACCAACTTGCACAACCACGTAAATGGCACTGCTGAGCCGTTTGTGCCCTTTGACAAAGCCAAGTCACTGACAGTACTCAATGTCACCTCAATGTTCCACTGGCCCATGGCTTGCGGCTTCTTTTCCAGAAGGGTCTGAACGGTTTGGCATGTGTAGGCGACATTAGGCGACTTCTTCAAGAGACAGAGTGTTAGCTCGCTGTGGGCTGTCGATAGATCAACACCTTCGCCTTTGCCATGTAAATCAGTGCGTTCTGGGATATAATTATTAGCGTTGCCCCTTAGCAAATCTGTATTCTTGAAAAACATACCGATAAGATGACCAACGACGTGTTGGATGGCAAGAGCCTGGCCATCTGTGTCGCAGCCCCCTGTAAACTCACTAATCAGCTCCTTGAGGTAGCGTGAGACGTCAGGCACATCGGTATTTGCAATGATAGACGTCACATATTCTCTTAGTAGAGACTCGCGGACCTTGGACGGCAAATTTGCCAGAGCAGTAAATCGAGTCGGGCGAGGATCCTCCATCCTGCTCGCTAGATATGTGTGAAGGAAAATCTGAATCTTCCAGGCTCTCAAGTCTCCAGCATCCATAGCCTCCTTGCTCCGCTTCTCCAGCTTCCGGATCGAGCTTGACTTATGCTGTGATAACTCCGCGGCGTTATCCATAATCTCTGCGGCGTGTGTCGTTGCAAAAAGACCCAAATCTTTCAAATTGTCGTGTTTTGATAAGAACTTTTTGTCTGCTATGAGCTCCCCCAACACCGCCGCTATGTGTCGGGCCAATGCACTCCTAGCATCCTGTTGTAGCCGACTGAGGCTAGATTGGCTTTGAAGGCTCGACGACCGGCTAAGCTCAACAGCAATGGCCTTTAACAGGGTGACACGAAGTGCTGGGAGGCTCAAGGGGTCATTCTTCGTCTCTTCCGTTTCGCATGTTTCAACAAACGCCAAGCTTTCTGAAAAGTATTTCGCACTTCGCTCGTCGAAATTATCCGACATTTGCCTTACTATCGTTGAAGCCATGGCAAAATATCTTTCAACAAGTTCAAGCAGAGTCTCATCATTTATCGTCTCTTCAAAGGAGAGGCTGGAAAGGGCGTCAGCATAATCGACAAGATTAGAAAACTGCATCCCTTCGTAAAACGTCGGCCGCGCCATCATTTTGCTTGCCAAATCAAGTACCAGCTTCCAGCCTTCGAGAGACACCCGCTTTGGAGTTTTGATCATCTTTTCCCTCCTCTTGTCCAATATGCTCATAATCTGCTCACGCTGGGCGCGGCTAAAGGCTTCCAAGGGTATGCTGCATAGCGTTCGAATCCACAGCTGCCCCTTTTCTCCTGGCCAACCCTTTTCTTTCTCAGACTCGGCTAAGGCTGTAATCAAGCGGTCCAGAAGTTTTTTGGAAAGCTTCGTGTCGTTAAGGTTGGCGTCATTGCTTAGGAGAGCGCTCCAAAGAGCATGCAACCCTGGAGGGCTTACATCCTTTGTAGAGGACACAGCCTCGAGCAGTGGAATCTCGTCTGTTTTTCTTGAATAGAGCCGATAGAAACGGCTGCCACCCAGAACATACCAAGCCAAGTATTGCTGGAAAGCAAGTTCTTCGTCAAATTCCGACCTTGCCCCCGAGTCGAGAGAGGCTGATAATTTTGTGATTTCCAGCACATCGTACGACGCAAGTTCTTCTACCAACCGCTGTGTGAATTTCTCTACCAGTTTGGATGACTCGTCGGCAGCGTCTCCATCTTGGCTCATAGAATCCCAAGCCTGATAGCAGCATTTGAGAGCCTCAAATGTTTCAGCCGACTTGATTGTCCCTTTCCGCAAAAGCTTAGAGACCTGCTCTTTCACTTGATCCCAAATATTGTTCCGTTCTTCGGGAGAGGTCCATGAAATCGTCTTTGAAATAACCCTCCACTTCAAAGCAGTCTTTGAAGAGTTTTTCAGCTGGAACACCTGGTTGAATAACTTCATGCCTACCGCGTCAATGAATTGCTCGCTATGTAGTCCTTGCGCAACGGTGCTCATGAAAACACAAAGAGACTGGGGGTATGAGCCAGGCTCCTGTTCGCCGACCCATTCGACAATCCCAAGGAGCTGGTGTGGCGATAATTCGGACTCTATGAAAGAAGAAATCGAACTCTCACGGTTCCCTCTCCCTATGTCGAACCAAGGGCTATTCGAGACCAGTTTGCGCTTCTCTGTCAAACACAGCTGCGAGAACCATAGTCGCAAAAATCCAGAGAGATCGCGGCGCGTTTGAAAGCTCTTCTTTATAGCCGCAATGAGATCTAGCTGATCCTTATAAACATCAGAGTCTGGTTTCTGGCTGATGCTCTGCGAACAAACGTCATTCAACAGAGCTGTGCCTTCCTCCGACATTTGGAAAATATCCGGATTACACGTAGCAGCATTTGCCAGTAAGCTCCAGTCGATTTCCGATCCCAGGCCATAGTTGCGGCATATTTGGCGAAGGTCCCCAGCATCGACTGCTACTGAGCTTCCTACCGCCTGCGCTAGAATTCCCTTCATCAAGGCATTTCTATCCGGCCTTTTACGGATTTGCTCCTCCACAGCCTTGAATATCCGGTCCATCCAAAGCGTATTGATCCTGCGCAAGTCGCTTTCAGTCGAAACATCGGGCATTCCTGCAGCCAGAAAGTATAGTGCTGGAGCAGATGTCCTCGTCTTGTCGTTTGAAACATCGAGTGCCCTCGAAATGACCTCGAAGTCTTGGCGATTCCAGAAGTAAGTGCGAGCAGGGAGTATGAAATTTCGGTGCATGAACTTCTGGAGATCTGCACTCCATCGAGCCGCCAAAGCTTCATTAACATTCGACTTTTGGCCTTGAATAGAAGGTTCTAACTGTCTCAGGATCGCAGCGGCTGGTCGAAAGAGATGTGTTGCAATCTCCAGGGCGTCGGTGTCCCCTTGTAGATGGAGATCCCATATCTTGGAGACTGTGGATAGCCAGTCTTCTTTGCCTTCGACATCGTCGCAAACATCGCTAGCCAGTAACAGAACACAAACAATAAAGAAGGATGATGATAATGTCGCAGCTTCGGTTGCAGAGGTAGAGAAGAGAGATTTGATGTGCTCAGCTCCAATCCTATCGCGTGAGCCGACCGCATTGTTCTCCAGTCGATCAAGCAGAGACTTCAGAGCATTGAAAACAGCCTGTCCCGTCGCCAAACAACTTTCGAGGCCTTTCAATTCGTCCAGGGCGTAGAGTGGAGCTAATGATCTCTTCCTTTTCCCGCCTGAAGCGCCAGCCTCTTGGCTTGGATTCGATGCGTCCTTGAGAGATTGTTGCAGAACCGCAGCGAATTTTCTGTCCGCTAAAGATTTAGCCAGTGAGAAAAGCGGTATCTTTTGAAATACGAAATCCAAAATCCTCCAGGTCAATGGGTAGCGTCGTATGGTCTCTGCCTCAGGTGATGGCCCATTCATCGATTTTAGCAGCCATCTCAACGCGCTCTCCTCTGCCGCGTGGAATTGGTGGTCTGATGCCTCTATGAGGTTATTCCACAGCTTTTCGAGATTCTCTCCGTTTCCCCCAGGTCCATTCTGATCAAGACCTCTTACGGTCTTGATGAGATCCAGCTTTCCCTGTTCAAAACTGGTGAGCTTCTCATCAACGCGACCAATCACAAGTGTAAAAAAAAAATCTTACCATTACAACAGAAGCAAACAAACGAGAATTAAAAAGACAAATGAGGGAGAATATAAATGAACGATTGTCGGATAATGGATTAGAATAAATCCAACTTATCCCGATGCTTTTTATAAATGAAAATTCATATATAGCAGAAGAAGCCGAGTGTATAAGCTCAAGCATCATCGTAGCAGCTCCAAAATTTCGAAAAATTCTGCCGCAATCTCCACCCCGATCAGGCAATCGCCCCTCACCGCCCACCGAGGCGAAGACCATGATGAGGCCGGCTGGTTTTCGTGAAGTTTGACATCACTGCATCCACGCTTTTTCCCTCCTTTGCCCACGCCAAAGCCCGGCTCCTTGACGTCAATTGCGCTCCGTACGTAAGTGCGAAACCTGCCGCCTCGCGACTTATTTACCGCATCTCACACGAAACCCCAGAGCAACGTCTGCCACCATGTCCGAGACCGCCGCCCCTCGCTCTCCAAGCGCCATTTCCCGGCCCGTCAGCGAAGCGCTTCTCAACGAGAAGGTACCGAGCCGAGCTTAACCCAGACAGAGCAAACTTGTTCTCCAGGGCGTCTCTTTACTAACCTGGTTTTGAAAAACACAACAGTGGGATCGCTGCCTCTCCAACCTCCTCGTCAAGTCCACCCTTGGTCTCGGATTCGGCGTCGTCTTTTCTGTCCTCCTGTTTAAGCGAAGAGCTTGGCCCGCGTACCTCGGCGCCGGCTTTGGTGCCGGACGAGCCTACGAGGAGTGCAACTTCAACCTGAAGCAGGCCGCTCGAGACCTGAAGAAGCCCTCGGCATAAAGAAACAAAATAAGGGACGAAGAGAGCTGTGGTTAGGAGAGGGAAGATACAAAAAAGGAGAAATGGTGGACCGGAAGAAAAATCCCAGTGGTGTATAAATTGCACGGACGAGGAAATAGAAGATGGCACCGGCCGATGAGGCATAGAGGCTGCGTCGCGAGCTATTTTGGTCGGACAGCATCAAATTCTGGTGGACAAATCAAAGTTTACTGGTTTTTATTTTGTTTTGTTCTACTATGTACAACAATTTTTATCCAAACGATCTCGATCCTCAAAACGCCGGCCCCCATGACACGTGAACACCGAAGCTCAACATCTCGACACATAAATAAAGCGACGAACCGCAGTCTGTTTGTTGGTGTGTTTGGTTTGTTTGGTTCTTCCAAGCTGCATACAAGCAAATCATCAATCATGCGAGCTGATCTCTTTTGTTATTTCCATTCATGTCGTCGTCTCTTCCCTTCCTATGACAGGGTTGTTTTTTTCGTAAGCGGGCACAAGCCAATTCCAACGCCAATTCCAATGCATAAACGCCGTTTAAATGCAGCTCCAAAAATGTTTCGATATGAAAGCTCTCTACCAGGAAATACCTAGGTAGAGAAGCTAGTCTTTTTGTGGTGGTAGACAAGACCATGAGCTCCTCAATGGAAGCAATGCATTGCGAATTTTCTGATATTGTAAAAAAGGAAGACAAATGACCCAGAGCCAAGGTTGGGGCTTTCAATGGATGGTGCCCTTGTATCCTCGCGGCAGACCTCTGTTTAGGCAGCGCGACCGAGTCTTATAGGATTCGGCACTTAGGCTTAGCTTGCGGGATTGGCTGTAGACATCGAGATTGAAGAGAATAATGGCACCAAGCACCGACACGAGGAAGAGCACCTCGGCAGCGAGAAGCATAATCTCGAGCCGGATGTCTTCCAAAGAACGCTGGAACTGCACTTCAGACATTTTCGGCGATGATGTTGTGTGTTGTGTTTATGTTTGTGTTTGTGTCTGTGTCTGTGAATGACGCTGACGCTGATGCCCAAACTGTCGGTGTGTAGTACATGGACAGCCTCAAAGACGGGGAATTGGGAATGATAGCCTTATCAGCTTCTGGCGTGGGTGCAAGTGGAAAGTGTCGGGAGGGGTACAAGGCGGTAAGAAAATAACGAGGATGAGGTCGTAAGACAAATCGGTCGAGGTGCAGAGCAATATGCAAGAGGAGCGGATAGTGCTAGGGATTTATATAGGTCAAGGCATGTCTTTGGGCGTTGTTTGGTCTGTTATGACAGCTCCGGCCGGGTAGCACTCGAGCAATGATATATCCCCACGATTCCCCCAGGACAGCCAGCGGTGGCGCGCCCGTCGAGCCCGTGATACAACGCCAGCAAATGAGTGAATATTGGCAATCTGCAGCGGCGGGGACGCATGCATGGGCTTGCATATTCGTGCCCTCTTTGCGCCTGCTACAGGTTCGCATCGCGGCCCAAAGGACAGGAGCGACAAGTGTCCACGCGACCATGCAGCCTTAACTGCCTCGGCCATCGTCGTCAGAGCCAGAACACGGCTAATTACAGCACAGCACCACCTTTGGGCAGTGACGAGATGCAATGCATCGTTAGATTACGAAAAACAGCCGCTTTTTATCATGTGTCAACGACAGCGCCTGCAGGGATATTCTTGGGATCCTTGAGGCTTTCCCCTCAGAAGCCCCAGAAGGGCTGCAATGCAGCAGACGAGGGCAAAAAGTCGTCATGAGTCAGTCAGGGATTGCAAAGCTTGGCTTTTTAAACTTGTACAATATGTCGGAAGAACCACCAAAACGGTAAGACGAAAAATCACATCTCGCCGTCGTATTTTAAAAGGCAGAAGAAGAGTCCAGTATCATCTAGCACGCAAATATGACCCAGAGCAAGTGGATGAATCGCCGTAGGTTGATTAATCGTGCAAGAAAAGTGTATCAAAGAAAGGAAAAGAAAAGAAGAAAAAGGCGAAGCACGCGACGGGTCGCAAAGTATTAGGTAGGTAGCAGCCCTCTGGCGGACATCACGTGATGGGTCAGGGTCCAGAGCCTTTTCTTGACCCGCTCCGCTTTTGCATCCATCACAATTTTCTCAACCTTCATCAGCACTTGCGCATGCGAGATGCAGAGAATGAAGCTCCAAAGCGGCTTCACTGCAACCATTTCCGGCTGCCCAATGACCTCATGGCGTCTGTATCCTGCAACTGGGAGGCAGACATGACCGCCTGGGCTCATTTTGGTAAGTATGGAGAGGGTGTCGTGAGCTATTTGCGTCCCCGATCCTCACTTGGTTTTAACCTACCAACCTGTGACACGTACCCACGATTTGCCTACACCTCGCCGCTTTCAATGCGCAAGAGTGTCAACTACTTTTTTATCGTTCGATGTGGGAGATGAATCCAACGGTCTAGACAACCAGTCTGCTCCACCCTGATGCCATTGAGATATGTGTGGCATTAGGACTAAAATCAGACAAACATATCGTAATTCAGCATTGCTCGTTGCCACGCTGTGACTGCATGATCCGACACTACCTATACCATGTATTGCTCTGTTTACATTTACACACAATGATCCAAGATCCATAATAACTCCGCATAATCCGAATACATGCATCAAATCCTCCTTAGATTTGCGTTATATCATCATCAAAAATGCCTGCCATCTAGCCAAAGAGGTAGTAGCTGTAGAAAAAAAAAATCGGTCACAAAATTATCATATCAGATCTTGCTTGCAAAGATGACGCTCTCGTTCGTAAAGGACAACAAAAACTTGGCCACCAAACGCCCAGTATAAAGAAACGATGTATCCATAGGGTAGGGATGCTCCTCTCTATGTAATAAGAGCTCGTCGTCAGCAAGGAACTGCATGTCTTGCCCTGGTTCAACAGTCAGTATCATGTCTTGCGGTTGGTTCATTAGGCCTTGATCAACTCACAGTCTTCTCCATGGAAAAGCTCTCTCAAAGCCTGTACCATTTCCACCGCGGCAGGGTCAAGCTCACCCTGCTCGACAAAGCTGTTGTCGAACAGAGGATTGAAGCTCCTCGTGTTGGCATCCTTTGTATGCGTCTGATAAAGATGGTGAAACTGGTATGCAAACTGTTTAAAGGGCATGTTCTCTAGCTCCTTGCAGGTGTCCAGAGCCAGCGATCTCTTGTATTTGGGAGAATATTTGTTCCTCAAGTCAATTTCATTCTGCGACACGACGAAATTATCCGCGGCCGTTTCAACAGCCTCCATGAAGAGGCAAAGGATGAGGAATGATGCAAGACACGGCGCCCATTCTCGTCGAAGTTTTGGCTTGAGTGACTTGGAAAAGAGCTCAAAGAGGTGCTGCATATCGCGTAAGATGAGCTCGTCAACGAGAGACTTGATTTGCCGCGCCAGCACTCGGGGAGTGACCCAGGGGGTGTTCTGAGGTACGAGGCCGGTTGGTTGGAGAGAGAGGATGGATTGGCGAGTTAGGCAGAGATGCCGGGTCATGACATAGTGCATGGTGTAGATCGAAAGAGCCCGTTTGACCATGGTAGACTAGTTCACAGTCAGTATTCTCCCACCCTGGGTTGCGTGGTTATTCTTTTTACTCACATCTGACTTCTTTGCAAAGTTTTGTACGATTGAAAGAATCTTGTTAGGGAGCCTAGTTGATCTGAAAGAATCGGTCAACTGATCTGCGAGCAGCGGCTCGTTTACAAGGGCTTGAATGTATCCCTTGGTCAGCTTCTTCATTTCGTCCTTTTGGGGCCCCTTGTTAAGCTCGATGCCAATGGGCGCCGACCCTTGTGATTGGAGGTCGACATGGTCTTCGCCATTGCTCAAATGCCAGTGTTGTAGAACGTCACAGGTCTTGGCCGTGAAAAACTTGGCCTGAAGCGTCAGGGTAGTAGCAAACCGTGGGCCCGAAGAGAGCTCAACATTGCAGAACTGCTCTGCTCCATTGACTGTGAAGCCCTCAACGTTCTCGGTGATGAAGCTAGTCATAACATCTTTCTTGAAGTGCCCACGGATGAACTCAGGGAACAAGACGGGCAAAAAGTCTTGAAACTGCCAGCATACCACTTGCGGTACCTGCAGCATCAGCTTCTTGCAGTGCTTGCACGGCCTCTCCTTGTCACACTTGACCTTGCGGCTATGACAGCAAAAGCATGCGCCCACCCTCCGAACTTGCAGTGCGCTCTCCTTTGTCTCGTTTGCAAGGGGGCCCTTCCGACCCTTTTGCGTCGTCCTCATGGCCTCGAAGCATTCAAATGGGTTCGGCTTGCCGGCACGGGCACTAATAGTTGTCGGCGTGACAATAACGAATTTGCTGCTTGAGGCATCGCTCTTATTCTTCTCAACTTTGCCTCCAATCACTTTACGTATCGACTTTCCAGACTTGCTGCTCGCCTCGGATTTGACAGCAGGCGACCTGGGGCTCGAGGACGAAGCGGTGCTCAGATGGCTTGGCGAAGAGGTCATTTCCTCAAACACAAACTTGCTTTCAGCAGCGGAAAGACTGGGGCTAGCCTGGTTCCATGGCGACAGGCTTGGCGACATGTGGGCATCCGATGGCAATGACTGAATAACATTCTGCTGAGGCAGCGACTGTGGCGCCGGACTGGTCTGATTCATCATCGAAAACGAGTCGACCGGGAAGTCGTTCATAAAAGGCGTGAGATCTGTGCATACCGATCAATATCAAAGCCAAAAATCAATGCCATTCTCTACCATCTCCGCGGGTAAACCCACCATTGAGCTCTTGCGGCTGGAAGCTTGCTGCGCCGGACGGCATAAACAGATACTGCTGCGGCGTCATAAACGCAGCCTCGCCTTGCGGAAAGCTTGCATCTGCACTGCTTGGGGGCCTTTCGACACCACTTGAAAACAGGTCCGCGGTCACAAACTCGGTTTCTTGTTGATATGTAGTGCTGGCTGGGAGGAAGACTGTGGGATCCATATCCACCATGGAACCTGGCGAAAGCCCGCCCTGAGATGGCGTTGAAACATGGCCGACGATGGCGAAGCCGTTCAAGCTGCCACTTGCAGGGCTGGGAAGAAACCCGATAGAACCGGTAACAGACGCGCTGCTCGAATAATCAATGTATTGCCATGATTCATCAGTGTCGCCGTTTGAGTCGAAGTCGTATGGTGAGGATCCAGCGTGCGGGGAGGCGTTTTGTGAGGTGACGGAAGCCATGGTCAAGTTCTTATATTTGGGTATTCGTCATGTCAGTCGAATGAGAGAGGCTGCGAGATTTTGACGCCGTCTAGAGCGTAGACGGGTCGATGGCGCTGCGCCAAGTCGTCGCAAATTCGTGGTTGGTTCGTGCTCTAACCCCGGGCTGCGATTTGGTCGACGAGACTCACTCCATCAGTCTCAACGGCTATGGTGTATCAGGTTTCCAGAAAGCGAAAATCGCATCGGCGACAGCGATTCGGCAAGATCCCAGCACCGAAATTAAATACCAATCAATCAGCTGTCAAACCACGTTCATGTTCGGTCGCAAAAACAAAAACCAGGCTGACCGTCGCTGTATCTCATGGTGTCGCAGCGATTCAACAGCATCGAGCGCTAACCGGAATCGAATACCGAACCGCTTTGCCATCGATCGGATGCGAAGCCGTCATTGGCGGCAGCTGGTGGGGCTAACGGCTCCTCCCAAGGTCCAGCCATTCACAGCACCGCTCCGAAGCACATGCATGGCTCGTCCCAATCTGGAACTTGAGCATGTGTATTTTGCAGGTACCCTACAGGTGCTTTGTATTTCATAGTAACAATGAATAAATTGATATCAACATAGACCATCACGATTGCTGTAAACCACTAATTGCACATGTTAAGAGAAGAGCAGAAATAGTCCTCCAATACACAAACGTCTTCTCCTCACTCTCATATTAGAAAAGAGCCATGATGCCTTTATCTACATGTACAACCCAAGTATCTTCCTCCACGCTATACGAAGGCAAACGACCACCTACCGACAGTCTAATCGAGACACCGAACCTCGCTACTCACGCACTCACCTGATACTCCTGTCGTTTTGCCAGCCTCAACCAAGATTCTGCCTTGAGCATCCAAAAAAATACTACTCCGTACAGCTCTCTATTTCCCTCGGGTGGCCCGACTTCCCGAATTTGCTCACTGTAAGACATCATTTGCGCACTCGGCTTCTAGCTCAGGGTTAGTACTAGCAGCAGCCCGTCTTCTTCAACGATCTGTAGCAGCGCCGCTTAGCACTATTGTAGGTTAGTAGCACACACAGACCAAATCAGAGCTCACAACATAGGAAATTCATAGAATGGCGCAAATTAAATCAGCCCAAGTTCAAGTTCGACATCGTAATAAATGATTACGTGACAAACACACCGGAAAGCAGCACAAACCCCAGAAAAGACTGATCTTTACTTCATATAGTTACCCTCCCGAAATACATCATGCATGAAGCACGAACCATGCCAATCGCCCTATAAGAAAGCCCTGATTCGATGGCCGTCGCCCAGCATGTGTCCCCAATTGATTCCACTCATTGGCCATGGCCAACTCGTTATCATCAAAAGAATGCATAGGGCACATATAACTAACGGTACAAAGTGTTACAGTCCAATCGCACCCTCCATCAATGACACAGTTGCCTCGCATAGTTCCATTTTTCATGCCTCACCTTGCATCTCTTCCCACAACACCCGCACCTCAGTATTTCCCCCCGCTCTTGTCTTTCTTGAATGCAGTAGGACGCAGAGTTGATAACTGTAGCACACCGGGCAGGCAATGCAGTAACATGTACTGGGTCTCACACCGATTGGTCAATTCTCAAGTACCTCATTCGTTATCAAAGCAAATTGTTGTTGCAAAGCTCGTTCGCTGATGATGTCTGAACAATGAATGTAAGAGTGTCCTGCCAGCGTCCAAACGCAAGGCTACCATGACACGAGCCATACTTGAAAGATGTTAAAAAAGAGTAGTATAAACAGAAGAACCAGAAAAGAAAAAAAAAAAAAAAAAAAATCATCGCAGCCAATCCCAATACAGCCCGTCAATTTACATTGCTAAAGCAGGCCGCCTCAGAGCGCAACTTTTAGGTCTACATATCGTCATCATCATAGTTGGATGGCCGTAGCATGACTGGATATTTTGTGAACTAACCCAACTAGTCAGTTCTGGGTGATTAAAAAAAAAGAGAGAGATAGGCTCGATGGGAACAGTGACATACATAGGTATTCGTTTTCTCGTTATTCATTTTTTGTGTTGCTGTGATAAACATGAAAAAATAAAAAGAAATCATCAATCATTTTCAAATCTGCAGTCTCATGATAAACGTGATCATTAATGCCAAAAAAGAGACTGGTAGAGATGGGGGAGAAGGCTTAGGATCGGAATCGCGCATTAGCACGCTCCTGAATCTGCTTCTCCGTTGAAACGTATAGCCGGTCGAGATAGTCCATCGCCGACGCATCCTTCAGGATTTTAGCCACCTGAATTCCAGCGGAAATGAGCTGGAGGATGTTTCGATCATCTTTCAGAGGGCGGCTCTGATGCTTAGCAGCATGCCGCATCTCGAGTGAGTTCTCGAGGATGGTGACAAACTGCTTGATTTGTCCATTGTAAAGGACTCTGGCGGGAATCCGTCTCTTGGTGGCAAGCCTCTTCAAAAGGTAAACCCACTCGGTCCACTCTCGGTCTTGGGGCCTCTCTACAGGCCTCATGTCTTGAGTCAACGGAATTGGGAACTGGTATTTGGCCACAAAGTCGTAGGCGCATTGAGATAGTCGGTCATTGACCTGGTTGAGAACGTTGTCCTGTTCTTGCACATGAAGGTTGGTCGGCAGATGCGGGAGCTCTCTCTCCTGCATAGCAATAACATCGGGGGGCGGGCGCTGCAAGAACTGATGCGGGCCATCAAACTCGTCCCGGTTCGACGGTCGTCGCTGCGATCGAGGTTTATTACCTTGTTGCTTCGGCTTGTTGGTGGGGATGACGAGATCCAGCCCATTGTCCAAAGAGTAATCAGACAGGCTAGGAGACGCAATGATATCATCGACCGATCCTGTCGGTGAATATCGGCCCTGCCCATCCCAGGCAGACGACCTGCTGCGCTTATGGGATCCGTATACTGAGCCAGAGTAGACTGAGCTGGAGCAGTTGTTTGTCATGGGAGGGGAACGAGGAACATAGGACGGCTGGGTCGACACCGCAGGTTCGATTCTCGTATAATGACCATTTGATGGTGCGGGAGGGCTGTCAGCCCATGGATAGGTGCTGGACGAGAGGTTCAAGCTTCAAGAGACACATTTGTTAGCTTGGCACTTGTCAATGGATTCTGTTGTAGCCTCTCTTGTCTCACCTGGAGATGGGGTAAAGATTACCCGCCAGCCTGCCGCCATTGTATGGCTCGGAGAAGAGGCTACACTCGTGTTAGTCAATTGGATTCTCGTAATTGGCCGGTGATGGTCATTTCGCACCTGCGAGGCGGGTTCCAGTGGCCGTTGGCGGCCGAAGGCATGTTGTAAGCAAATCCGGGCTGGGCCATGTTTTCAGGGCTCATAATGTAACAAAATACAACCGGGAGTAGTTGGATAAACAAACAACAAGTTGAAACAAGAACAGTATATGCTTGCTTAAAAAAGACAGAAAGGGGAGAGAAAGAAAAAAAAAAATTCAAGCTATGCAAAAGGGACGCAAATAAGTTCAAGACGGCACTGTTTGAAGCCTGTAGAGTCCGGAAAATGCAAATCCAGTGAGCACCTTGGGCATTGGTCCTATTGCGAGCAATCCAAGAAGGGTTTCCAAGCTTCCCGAAAGAGATCCAAGGGGAAAGCGGTATTCCGAGGAAGATGAAGGTCTGGTCCTTTGGGTCTCTCACAAGGTGAGCTATAGCTATAGGCGGTGTGTTGGAACAGCCAAGGCGACCAATCCAGAAAGGCCAACTTCAAACTGGGCTGTAGGTCCCTGGGGGTATGTAAGTTGTATCAGGCACTAAATTCAGTGCGAAGGCCCGAATCGTCCTTGAGGATCCAATCTTCCAGGCAATAGAGGAATAGACACTGCTTGTCTAGGCAAGATAGACCTGTCAGACAAATGCTTCGTCAGCCCGGAATGGACACGCTTTATGTACTATGCATGATCAAGCTCACTGGCAGTTTAGTACTCGTTAGTCCCTTCAGGGCAGAGCAGGGCGGCCCCGGTCTCAGTCGATCACTAGTGATGCTCGGGTTGGCATTGAGAAGCGCGAGGAACCCGCCGGAAAAAAAAAGAGTGAGAGGAGAGAGCGAGAGAGGCAAATCGACAGGCACAGCCAAGCTTCGTGGCCTCTTGTTTCGTCCCAAGTAATCGGGCGCCTACGACTAGATCCGGGGTCAACGGGCCCGCGCTTGTGAGGCAAGGGGAGGCTCTTCATACGTGTACTCGTACTTGTAATGTGTTCTTCTGCGTGCTTCTCTGCTATGCTATTAGATGGTGGAGCGCGTTGTGGACGGCGGGAGACTTCGGTGGGACGAGGTGCCGTATCAAGGTCAAGGGTGCGAGCCGACAGCTAAGGAATGCTGCAACCAATCTGTGGCTTACAGCAAATGATAGTACCAGAGTGGCAAACTCCCGAGGCTGTTTCATGACGCGGGTGATGCTCGCCAACCTGCTTTTTGGAGGAGGAAGAAGCAAAGTTGATTCATGGATCTCGTCGCCTTGCAGGACATTGGAGCGAAGCACACGATCGTGGGGTAAGGGCAGGCTTTTGGTTGGGCTCCGCTGATTGTTGCCCAAAGGCGAGCCGACGCTCAAAGCAGGCATAGCCGTTGGGGTCCGGAAATTGGAGGCAGGGAAAAGGCGATGGGGAGCGGGCGACTTGGTAGGCTGATGCTTGCTTGGGCATCAAAATTAGGCTGCATCCGCTCCCAGCCCAACCACACTGATCCGGACCGCTGCCCACTTAGAACAAGGCATGGGCCACACGCGATTGGAAACCTTGGAACAATTATGCGAGGGTGCCGGCCAGAAGCAAGTGACGATGGATTCAGCCGAACGCCCGACAGAGCGTCCATCCCCGAGTCTCGCAGAGACATTGAGAGTCTGGGGTAGAATCGGCCAACCCGGGTGAATTCCCATGAACCTAGTGGTAGGCAGCACTCTGCCTTCACGTTGGTCGAGCCGTATGCATGTGGTTCGCACGCACATCCCATCCTCCGGGGAAGAGATGGAGGGCAGAAGGAGAAATGCTAGGCAGTCCAAGCCATTCACTACAGTAGTGCTGGAACGGGTAGTTAGGGTTAGTACTTTAGTACCTAGTAGTAGCTCGCTCTCAGAGCTATAGGTAAGCTCGGAGCTGGTCGATTGGGCAATTGGGATTGAAGCTGGATCGGGGATAAGCGAGGACGCGCGACAAGGTCAGGTCTGGTCTGGCCAAGGACATGGATGAACCCGTTCATGGGTTGTACAAAATCGATCGCAATTTCTCGACGGCCTCTAGAACCTGCTGGGTACCGGGAGCAAACGAATCGACTAACACCAATCCAGTGCTCTGCAAGGTACCAGGTATGTACTTCGTACGGCCGGCATCTCTGCCATGTGCTTGGTAGCGGGAATCACCTCAAATTCTTACGACTACGAGTACATGTATCTACCAAATCCTTCAGTTTCGGATCACGGAGCGGATGGGTGCTTTACTACTCCGTAGTACCTTGCAGAAAAGAGGAGAGCTCGAGGTTTCTTCTAGTGCAGTGCTCACTGCAGTGCGTGGATACGGGTTTCTACATTGATACTAATGACGGCACCCGGAAGCAACATGGCTTCATGCCGCTTTGAACCACCCAAATTGCGGAATACGAGTATTACTGCCAACTACTACTACAAGTACAGGTACATGTTATACGGAACACACGTCCGAGCACCCGAGACATGTATTCTAGAATACGCGGCCGGTGCAAATGAGGAGCTGGACAATACGAATCAACCAGTTAGTACGGAATACAGGTAAAACCTTGACAGCAGACCTCAATCAACCGCCCCGGTTACATCCGCCCAACCTTGTTTTCGGTGTGGAGCTCCGGACAAGGTGGATCCAACTTCAAACGATCGGCGGCCCTGGGCAGCAAGGGATTCAAAGAGGCAACTCTTCATTTCAGCCCTCCGTATAAAACGGAGCTTGTTAGTGCGAGATTCCAAGTGACAGACGCACTTGACAGATGTAGCCCGGCAAGTTGTTCGTAACCAGGACCCAGACGGCAATAGTCCGAGGATGCTGAGCATGAAGTAGGCGGAAGAAAGGGATCGGCACGGAAATTGGAAACATGGATGGCGAAACAACCGCTCGGATGTAGTTAAATCGGGCAGCCATTTCATGTACAGAATAAGCCCGCCAAACAGCCCAATGGGCTGATTCTAGCGCTTCCAAGAAACAAGAAACGAAGGCACCCATCTGATAGTGTCGCAGTTTTCAGGCGGCATAGAAGATGCTGTGAAGCCATTGCGAGATTGTCCAGGCATCCATTGAATGCCCAAGTCAGCCGTGTCCGGTGTGAACTGCGCCTGGATATTCCTGTGGATGAAACCGAGCATGCTTATGCGCACAGCACTTGCTGCATTCCTGCCAGGGATGGAAGGTATACCAATAAGGAGATCCGATAGGGCCTTTTATTTCATCCGCTGTGTCATCTGGCGATGAACTGTCCTGTCCGCGTTAGAGGGTATGTACTGTATGGTGGAAAAGCTCAGCCTCTTTCTCTTCAAAAATGGGGTTGTAGAGCCGGGAAGACGCAGTAATCGTCAGCGTTGCCGTTAGGATCGCATCCTTCTCCATGGAAAATCGAAAGCAGCTACAAACCATTTCATCCGGCTGAATTATGTAGTCTCATTAATGGCTTTGATGTCCAGAATTAATGCTGAGAGCATATATCGTTGCGTGTTTTGTTTCAGAGAGGGGGAAGAGGATTGTTCAGATAGCATGCGGAGAACCGCACCGGCTTAGCTAATCCAGTCTCATGGGCGGTCTGGGCTCATATCAACTCAGCCATGCATCCCATCCAGTCGACTCATCGTTTCTCGCCAGCTTCTCTTTTATTTGAATGGCTCACCTGGCACCGCACGGTGACGAAATGGCTGAACGAGTGCATAAAAACGTTTCTGCGTGACCATGGCCGCAGCTCTTTATTCGTCTGCGACGCTCCCTGCCTGCATGCCAGCGCATCTCGTCTGGCGACATTTTGGCCGCTCGTGCTGATAACCCCGCTTCCAAGACTCTGCAAGCGGCCAACGAGAGGCCCGAGATGCCCTCAAGCGGTCCACCATGTCACAGCTTTGCCATGTCGAGAGCAAATGGACGGCCGGCGTTTGGCTCGCTTGACACGACCGTCGACAACGTGTACAACGCATAGGCTGACTTGGCCGGTCTTGGAGCGGCTTCCGGCAACAACGGATCGCGCTCTCGTTTTTTTGGAGGAAAACACCAGACCCGGGTTGTTTTCTTCGCTCGGGGTCGCCTGAGACGGCTCCTACTGGGACTATGCCTAGCACTGCTAGCTACTGACCGGGATATGTTCAGCCGCTCTACGCTGGGCAAGCGCTCGTACGGCGCCTGATGGGACCTGGCAATTTAACGGCAACAAGCAGTTGCTTCACGACCCGTCTCATTGCTCTCGAGTTCTCTTTTCTCTGCGGCGAGGCAATATATGGCCAACGAAGCAACCGCAGCGCCGCCTCACCGACATGCTCCGCCCTGCAGCTACAGGTATTGAGAAAATTTTTCGTTGGTGCCCGCCTACTCGACCGTTTCTGCAGTGCTGTGTTGTCCTGCAGCCATCATCACTGCTCATCACATCGCACGACGACGCTCGTCACTGATAGGACCCTGGTAGACCTCCTACTCCACCAGATCCATTCGACAGCCAAGGAAGAGGCCCGGTCAGCGCCAGCACACCATGCAGGCCCCTGTAAAGCGAGCCTATCATGCTTGATCATGGCGCGCCAGCGCACTCCTGCGGCCAGCACAGAGGCCGTTCAGGCGGCCGTCTATTGGCACGCGGAGTGGTGAGACATGCTGGTAGCGGGGGTATTGCGTCTGCTGAGATCGGAGTCAGACTGGACCGCAACGATAAAACCCGCAGGGCCCCCTCGTTGCCCAACGTTCTCTCTTGATTCTTCTTTCAGCCCAACGGTTTCTGCCCAAAACATCCTTGAATCCCTCAAGACCGACTTTTCGCTACTCATTTGTATCCACTTGCAAGCCCCCATCTCATCAGTCAGCCGACGGGAACTGCGAGCCAATCCAAGGGACCGTTTTGCCGCCTACATCATCTCGATCTTCACCGTCAACTCTTCCAGGTTGACCTTCCGGATCTCCCATTCAGGGCCTGTTCACAGATTCCATCCGGGATACAATGACAGTTGCCCTTGTGCCTCACCAGGCCACCATGTCTAGCTACAATAACGTTGACCTTGATGAGGTCTCTCCGCTGCCCAGGTACTGTTTTCTTTATGCTCAGGATATTGCGTGCTTTTTTTTTTTTTTTTCTTTCTGCTTTTTATCGTTTCTTGCTTTGTCAGTTGCACATGTTGAGCGAAAATCATGTACATTTCTTTTTTGTCTGTCAGCATTGTCTTTGCCGCCATGAAACCAGCCACAGGATACGCCCCGGATGCCCAAAAGCCATGGAATAGCCACGCGGACCTTCTCAAACGGAACACAAATCTTTTGGAACAGGACTTGTCCAGCCGGGCAAGGAAACAAATAAGAAATCAATGATATATATACTTTTTTTGGCTTCGTGCCAGCGGTGAGTACGGCCCGCCATTTGAATTGCAGCGACAAGTTTTCGACATCTTCCATTGGCCAAATGTTTGCGTGAGCCACGTGTATACTGCGGAGAACCAACGGAGCCCAAGTTACCTTCTGGACCGGACCATTGAGCGAATTCGCGGACCTGCTTTTCTGGATCTCGGAGTTCCCCTTCACCGCACGACTACGATTGTACAGCTGGCCCCAAGCGGTCTACACGTGGACTTGAACAAGACGCAGTCTTGACTGCGAACGCAAACTTGCAGAAGCGGATCTCTGACAACTGGCCTTACTCTGAGCTGGACCTGCCTCACCGACTCTAGAATCAATGGATCTCTCGACTCACGTGTCTGGACCTTGTTGGCCTTTCGACTCGAACTGTATGTGCGACTGAATTTTCTTGTTAGCTTTGTTTCAATTGCACTGCCTTTTTTCTCTTTTGGCCTGCCTAGCCTGGAATCCCAAATGTCGAACCAGAAGACCTTGGTCCGGAGTACTGGATACGCCAACACTGTCGCACCGTTGGAACTGGAGCCCATTATGCACACTAGTCGTGGAGTTGTGAGGACTTGCTGTCAGAATGACTGGCTCTTTTGAATATGGCTCGGTTTGTGTGACCATGTATCCCCCATTTGCCCTACGCCCAGCTTACTAACCCCCAATTGTAGGATCAAAGTTGACTCCCAATGCCATGTTTTAACTTTCTTTTCATGTTGTTTGATTTTGGTAGTGGTGAGAGCAGCACACTAACCTGACTTAGCGACTTCAGCTACTCCCAGTCATCCATGGCCTCGACTGCCCCTGCCATGTTTTCTTTTTCTCACACAGAACCATCGACGGACCTTATGAATGGTTCGTCATGGGGTGCAAATGCAGAAGGGCCACAGAACTTACATGACTACCCGGACAATGGATCATCGCACTCAGGAGAAGCCGAGGAATTTCTTTTCACATCTGGTCATAACTCACCTAGGGGACCAAGACTTGATCAGGCCCAAACCACTGATGTGTCATCATGGACCGCCGCTCCCAAAGCGGTCATGTCCATCTCCACGGGAACCCAGGCTATGTCTCGAGCTAGCTCGAGCCGCTCCCACGTCTCTGCTGTTTCACCGACACAGATGTCTAATATGAGCGTTAGAGGTAATGCACAAGTTTTCCGGAGTGGACCTCAATCTACTGGCTCCATGGCCGGAATGGATTCCTGTCTGTTACTGGACTCAGATGCCCATGGTGTTTCATCCCAAATGTACCACTGGCACGACTACGCTCTCGAAATGAACCTTGGCGCCGACGGCGTTGCCTTCCCAGTTCCCAATGTGAACCCGCTCCATGTGGTTCCTTCACAGATGCACCTTGCCACTGATGCCATCCCGGATACGTCATCCCCCAGCAACTGGGACTGCTTTTCTAGCTCCATCTCCAGAACTTCCTCCCCTGCCACTATTGATGAAGCTTGGCAATCTGCTCCCTTTAGCCCCGAAACATCCCCCGAAACTTGCCCATCGCCTAGGTATGTTGTCTTCCAAGCTGAGGGTGAACAATCTTCTTACCGGATGGGTTCGTTCAGAGACCGAAAATTCCAAATCATGACGGAGCACGCCGTCTCCCAGATGGAGGATGCCTCCGCCCTTCCTCAAGCTTACACTGCCCGCCGACAGGGAAGTGAGGGAGAGTCTGCCCGGGACCATGCCTTGTACAAGAATGTCTCTCCCCGAGAAGACGGTCTCTTTCACTGCCCTTGGGAGGGCCAGCCAAACTGCAGCCACAGGCCCGAGAAGCTTAAGTGCAACTATGAGTAAGTTGGATAACCCAGCGTCTTACTTTTCCTCTCTTGAAAAAGCTAACAATCATTGCAGCAAGTTTGTTGACTCTCACCTGAAGCCCTACCGATGCAAGGCTGAGGCTTGCGAGGGTGCCAGATTTTCTTCCACTGCCTGCCTTCTTCGCCACGAGCGCGAAGCCCATGGTCTGCACGGACACGGCGATAAGCCTTTCCTTTGCATGTATGAAGGTTGTGAGCGATCGATTCTTGGCAGCGGTTTCCCGCGCCAGTGGAACCTCCGGGACCACATGAAGCGAGTTCACAATGATCACGGTAGCGCTGGTGGCTCCCCTACTGGGGCCGCTCAGCAGGCCACCAAGGGACGGAAGCGCAAGTCAGACGCTGAAGCCCAAGGCTCTCCCAGCCGCAAGGCCTCGATCAAGTCGATGCCTGCCCCAGAGCCTAAGCCTCCTGTCAAGCCTCTTATTGAACAGTGGTTGGAGCAACGCAGTGTGTTGGGTGAGATTGTTCAGCAAATGAACAAGCCAGATGCTCAGAGCATTCAGCACATCGCAGAGGCCCAAAAGCGCCTTGAGGTGATGCTCAAGATGGCTACAGATGCAACCACCGTCACCCCCAAGACGGAGGTGCAATCTGGTCGCCGATACTTGATGGGTTGAAGTGTTGAATAGAAGTTGTTGGTCTCTCGTTTAAAATCAGGGTATCACGCCACGTGGGTGGTTTTTCATTATGTCTATATACATACACAGGACGGCTGCTCGCGTCTTCAAAGGACGCTGAGCTCACCGGGAAACGACTCCCAAGGGACGTCCCGCGAGTAACAGTCTCGCAGAGTGGGTTACGTCCATCACGGACTGCTAAGCCGAGCAGAAGAGCGTTGGCTACACGCACCACAAAATCTCCCTCAGAGAAGAGCTGCTGGACCAGGGTTCCATCATGCTACTTCAGGGTTTGAGTCGGGGATATGTTTTTTTCTTTATGGATGGATCAAAAGCATCGTACTTGTTCAGGTTTGAACGTTAAAAGTATTGGGTTTGGAAGGGAATGGAAGGGCAAGGAAAGGAAAGGAAAGGATAAACAGCGTTGCTATTCTCGTCTTTTGATTTTTATTTGTTTTGTCAATACCCACGATTTATGACCCTGTTTAGATTTTAGATGCTTCTTTTTTTAGCATGCACATTCGCTCAACCAGTCTCGACTGGCGATTGTTTCCTTAGTTTAGCTTTTACTTTGAATATGTTTTTATCATGAGATGAATTACTATTGAGCAGTACTGCTGGCAGACTTGAAAACCTTTGCATCCGCCAATGTTTATGTGCTAGAATTATAGTGACTGGCCTCTAAAGTGCCACCACCGTGGAGGAATAAATGCCCTGCGAAGACTCGTTGCTTCTGGAATTCTTGTCTGCCAAGTCAACAATTTAGGCGCCAAGTTGATGCAGTTTATAACTCATGCTGCTGATGATCGGATAAATGCCCTGAACAACGCTAAGCGTAAAGGTAGTCGTCTCGCGAACCAGTCTCATTGATTCTGCAGGCTTCTTTGTGTAATTCTGCAGCGCTGTGTCGAGAGTCAGGAAGTTCTCATTTACGGTTGCGACAGATTGATGAAGCAGCATCAACTCTTGGTGTAACTGCGTTATGAATTCTGACGGGGAGAAGCCTCCATCCATGGTTAGACAGTGATAATGATGGGTGCGAGAGATGTTGAGTATGTGTTGCGTAATAGGGTAGTTTTGGGGGATATGGGAGTAGACACACTCGCGGAGAGTGGGAGGGGTGATATGGATAGTAATATATACGCGCAAAGGTGGTTATGCATCCCTTTCAACTAGATATTTTTCTGGGCTGGGAATGATATGGAGCTGATTCAATATGTGATGCACACTAGATTGGAGGTTGATCACTGGCAATTTCAAGACATCTTGTAATTGATTCATGCCTCACCTCAGCATCTTACATGCTGTACCTTAGCACGTAGACAGATATCTAGCTAGGTACGTATATGAGGACCTTGTGTAATTAGAAACCATACAAAAGCCCCTAACCTTCACCTCGGCAGACATTCATCAACCATATGGCCACTAGACACATGATGCTCGTTCTACTGTAGAGCAACATACAGGCAGAGTCGAGACAGCCGATTGTGGGGCCGAACCCAGCCAAGAGCCTCTGCCGGGTTTCGGCGCATTTGCGGCACAAAGCTAACGGAACGTGGAAAGCTTCCTGATGCTTGATTTACCCCTCCATCCAGCTACCTTTTCCCACCATCACCTACAACATCAACAGGCTTCATCTCTTAGATTGCTGTTTTTGCATTGAATATCTGTATTATTTTTATACCTCACAGCCTCTAATTCAGTCATCATGGCTCGCAAGTTCTTCGTCGGCGGCAACTTCAAGATGTGAGTGTCTTTGATTTTTTATCGTACCATCTCCCAGCCCCTCTCCCAAAACAGCGCAGAGCTTGGGCACGGACAATTGGAAGAAGAAGGAGGCTGATTGATACCTGATACCAGGAACGGGTCTATCTCGTCCATCAAGGAGATTGTCGAGAACCTGAACAAGGCTACTCTCGACCCCAATGTCGGTATGTGCTCGTCCTGTCCCAAGGCGGGAGCTCAGCCTCGACCAAGAGATCCTGATTATGCTAACCGCCTTGTTCTTCTCGCTCTAGAGGTCGTCATCTCCCCCTCCGCCCTGCACCTCCTCCTCGTCCGCGATAGCCTCCGCCAGGGAATTGAGGTTGCCTCCCAGAACGTTTTCGACAAGCCCAATGGCGCTTTCACCGGCGAAATCTCCGTCTCGCAGCTGAAGGACAGCGGCATCACCTGGACCATCCTGGGCCACTCCGAGCGCCGCACCATCCTCCGCGAGAGCGACGAGGTCGTAGCCCTCAAGACCAAGTACGCCACTGAGAACGGCGTTGGTGTTATCTGGTGCTGCGGTGAGTCCCTGGAGGAGCGTGAGGCCGGCAAGACGATCGACGTCGTCAGCAAGCAGCTCGCCGCCCTCAAGGCCCAGGTTTCTGACTGGTCCCAAATCGTCATCGCCTATGAGCCCATCTGGGCCATTGGCACTGGCAAGGTTGCCACCACCGAGCAGGCTCAGGAGGTCCACAAGGCCATCCGAGAGTGGCTCAAGACCAACGTTAGCGACAAGGTCGCCGACGAGACCCGTATCCTGTACGGTGGCAGCGTCAACGAGAAGAACTGCGGCGAGCTCAGCAAGCAGGCCGACATTGACGGCTTCCTCGTTGGCGGTGCTTCCCTCAAGCCTGCCTGTAAGTCGAAAACCCCCAACAGCGATTTAACTTGTCCATATGCTGACCTGCATTAGTTGTCGACATCATCAACTGCCAGAAGCAGTAAATGGGTTCTCATGTACAGGGAAAACAGAACTCGGTAGAAAATAATCATACTGTGGGGGGAAAAGAAAAAAAAAAAGCAATGAGGCTTCTGCATGGAGAATAGAAACCATAAAATATACCCAAGTCTCTCCATATGATTGGATTGATTTTACATCTGTGAAGGCATCATTGCTCATATATAGCGTAGTGTCCTATATGTTCCAGCAGCCCAATACCAGTGCTCTCTATGCGGTTCATCCAAATACAAATACACGGACATCATACATAAAACCCATCATGAAAAATTCGCTCAAATTATACAGCCATGCCCTTGCCATGGTACGGAGACCAGATGCCTCTGACACTCGGCTTGGTGCTCACAACCGCCTTGTTTGTCCGTCTCAGCTTCTCTCCGCTGGCATCTCTCAACAATTCCACCTTTTGAAGAATCTCGTACGGCGAGAGGTTGCGCACACATATGGGCTTCGTTCGTCCGTTGATATAGTGGCCGATGATGACGGGATGCTTGCCAGGTCGCGGGGAAACGGCAAACTCGATCTGTGGATTGGCGGTTGCGAACTTGGGGAGCAGTGACTTGATGAAGCCGCTACACATCGAATTAGCAGACATTCTCCAAATAGCCCACGGATTATTCGTTCTGCCTACTTCATGCCCTTGGAGCTGCCCGCCCAGTCGCAGTAGTGAAGGTCCAGCTTCTTGCACTGAAGGACAAATGCCCCCAGGCCATTCTAGCGCTCCCTGTTAGCTCTTTGCCGCTGAGTACGAAGGCAGATGGACTGCATACCTTGCCATCTGCAATGGCTCGCAGCGCCTTGACCGTCATCTTGGATCTGATGTGAATATTGCAGCCAGTATTCTCATGATCCGGCTCGCAACATGCTTAGCGCAAGCATCAAAAATTAAACAATTCGATACCCACCCCGATTGGGACTAGCCTTAACCGGCACAGCTCCGGCAAAACTCTGTCCCAGGCATCGCCTGAGCTACACGACAATTTATTGCTGCCAGAGCGCGCAGCTTGTCTCGCACTCTCTCGCCGCAAGCAATCAGTCGCACCAGGGCATTCCGATCCGTGAACGCCAGAGCCCGCGGCCCCTCCAGCAAGCGAAATCTGCGTTTTATGTGCATCTCTAATTGATCGCAGTCGCCGCAACTAGCCTGATCCTTCGTCATGACCGACAAGCTCCCCCCTAACTTGTTGGCGCTCTTTGCCGCGCGACCTCCGCTACGATGGGTAGAACCGTCTGACCATGCGCCTGAGAAGCGCAGGACAGCTCCCATTGGTGGCCTTGCTGCTTTTCTCCCCGAGCTGCAGAAATACAAGGAGACGGATGCCTACCAGCCCACCGAGAGCTGGCTGGAGATGCGCGATCGGAAAAAGCAAGAGAAGACGGAGGCTGCTTCGAATTTGGTGACTGAAGGGCCAAAACAATGTAAGGATGCTCCAACTGAGTGGACCTGGCATCTCTTTGTCGCGTGACTAACCTGAGCTGATAGTCAAACCCAACGAGGATCCCAATATTCGTGGCGATGCTTTCAAGACGCTCATTGTTGCCCGTCTCAGCTACGAGGCTGACGAGCGTGATCTGGAAAGGGAGTTTGGGCGTTTTGGTCCCATTGAACGTGTTCGTATCCCGCCGGCATTATATGTTGCACTCACAGAGGTATCAGAGCCTAAGGCTGACTTTTTGCCACAGATTCGCATCATTGTTGATACCCATGCCCACGAGAAGCCTAATAAGAAGAAGAAGCCACACAGGGGTTACGCATTTGTCGTCTTCGAGCGCGAGAAAGATATGAGAGGTAAACTACTCCAAAACCCTTCCATGCTATATGACCATCCAATCCAATCCAATCCCGGTGGATATACCTCGAAGATGTGGCCCTCAAGCTTGCCCATCCGTAGATGCATACCACGAGACGTTCATAAGGCCCTCCAGCTTGCCTGTCTCACTCTTGCCCGCTTTTTTCAAATTGTGAATATCTTTTCTATGGTAAGAGTTGCTAACATTGGCGTCTCATGACGCAACGATGAATAGCTGCCCTGGATGCTTGCGATGGTATTCGCATTAAAGACAGGCGCATCAAGGTGGATGTTGAACGCGGCAGGACTGCCAAAAACTGGCTGCCTCGCAGGTTAGGTGGAGGCTTAGGTGGCCGAGGCTATACTAGAGCAATGCCCTCTCGTCCTGGTGGCCCTGGAGGCTTTGGAGGAGGAGGAGGTGGCGGCGGCGGCGGCGGCTTCCGCGGCGGCTTCAAGGGAGGATTTGAAGGTGGCCGAGGAGGAGGCCGAGGCGGTTTCCGTGGAGGTTTCGGTGGTGGCCGTGGAGGCTTCCGAGGTGGCGGTGACTTTGGCCCCCGAGGAGGCGACCGAAACGGCTTTGGAGCACCCAACGGAGCCCCATCAGGACCTGGATTCGACCGACGAAATGGAGGCGACCGGGGCTTCTCCGGTGGTGGGTATGAGTCTCGTGGTGGACGCTCATATGATGACAGATCCGGCGGCCACCGAGATGGCGGCGGTCGATATGGCGATCGTGATCGTGGCGACCGTGGCGACCGTGGCGATCGCGACCGTGACCGAGACCGTGGTGACCGAGGTGATCGAGACCGCGATGGACGTCGGACTGGCAGTAACATGGAACCCATTGGCCGCAGAGAAGGTGGGTATCGTGACAGGGACAGGGACTATGACCGCCCTCGCGATGATGACAGCCGGAAACGAGGATACGAAGGCGGTGGCTACGAAGATCCCCGCAAATTGCGTCGTTACTAAGGCTGAAGCCCGTGCAAGTCGACTCAACTTTCGACACTTGGTGGGTAAACTAATTGTTTGACGAGTTTCCTTCGCATCCTTTCTTTCACCTCGCAAGGGTAAGAAGCCTGCCGTCTTCCACCAGCACAGTCTCAGACTCAAGGATCGCCTCCCTCTATCCACCTTTATCATCGTACACCGTCTTCCTAAGCTAGTAGCCCATGAACCTCGGACCTATGGGTAATAGTTCCCTTTGTCTTGTTTCTGTGGCTGGAGACCATCACTATCAATAACTGAGCATCAATCAGCTGTCAATACTGGACAGCAATCACTTAATAATAGGGACGAAGACGAGGAGTGCTCTTCTCGCAATGTATTATAGCACATTTGGCAGGAGAAACAGCTTGAAATTTGGGAGCTTCAGGTAAAGTCATAGGTAAGCTCTTGTGACCGATGGATTGCAAATATGGAGGCGGTTTCTTTCTTTCTTTGCGACAAGGGCGTTTAAGGACATTTAGCCAGCAAAAGAGTAAAAGCACAGAAAAAAAAAGGAAGAAAAAAAGTAAAGAGAAATAGTTTACGTGCCATTCGATGTGCATTTGTTATCAATGTGCGAGCGAGAGTATAGATAAACTCTGGTAAGAGTAGTAGCAGAAGACTGTAAGACGCAGAATGATTTTTTGCTTGATCGTCATTTCAGGAGCATAAGCATGTATATCATGTAAATATGTCCTCCATCTTTTTGAAACCCTGTGAAGAACCTTGGAACGCCGAAATACCCAAACAACCCGTTGCTGGTATATGTTGTATGCGCACAGAACATTTCTACCAAAAACTGCAGCCCCCAACACTGGCCAGGCACCTTAATCCTCCTCCTCAACGCCGTCCATGGCGGCCTGGTCAATTTCTGTTACCTCGTTGGTCGCGGCGCTCCAGTATCTATGAGTTGTTAGCCGAGAACACCGTTTGATGGGCAGACAGGAAAAAAAACTTACGCCAGAACCTTGACTCTGAACTCACTCAGGCAGACATCAAACAGCTTCAACAGCCTAGTCTGCCGTGAATCGAGCACCTCGCCCTCCTTGCAGACGGTATAGCCCTCTCCCTCGCCGCTCTCATCACCCAGCACGACCTTGCCCTTGACCATCCTCGTAGGGACGCCCAGTCTCCGCAGCTCGGGCTCAATGGTGTGCTGCAGCGGGATGTCGTTCTCCTTGGGAACCTCGCCACCGGTGGCGTACACGACGCCAGGAGGGATAGTGAAGGAGCGAGAAGCGGTGACACCGGCGCGGGCAAAGTCCACGGGGGCAATGCTGTTGAGGTAGTCGAGGACAGAGTCCACGGGGCGGTTGGTCAGGAGGAGGCCGACGGTGCCAGTAATGTGCGGTGCGAGGCCCTCGATGCCGGGGACGATGGCTTCCTCAGCGGTTTGGCCGAGCGCCTTGGCCATGAGCTTTGTCTTGCCGAAGAAGAGTCTGATCCCAGGGAATTGCGTTAGCTTTCAGGAAAGGTTTTCCTCCCAAACATCTTGGAGCAGGCGAGAGGTGTGAACGTACCGGCTGTCGGAGAGCTCGCGGCGCACATCCTTCAGGTAGTTGTTGCGCATGTTGTCCACGTTGAAGACGAAGCAGTGCTGGTACTCGGGGACCTGCTCGCGAATGTTTTGGAACAGCTGGTCCTTCTGCTCACGGGTCTTTTTGGTGACCTGGGTGAGGTGGAAGACTTTCGCGCGCTTGGACTTGGGCATTTTGTCGGCTGAAGAAGGACGTTTACAGAAATAAAAATTACAATTCGGGCAATTGAAGAAATAAACAAGGTAAAAATCTGGGAGATGCGGAGGAGCGAATTGGCGATTAGGGGGGTGTTGCAAAAAATTCGCACGTCGCCCGAGGTTTGTGGTTTGGGTTTCTTTTTTGGTAGATTTTTGGCGATAAGATTGCAAGAAAATTTATTATCAAGGTGGACTAAAAAAAAATCCAGGTGTGCGGAAACACCCCGCATTGCTCACCGAGAATTGGACCAGGGATCTGGGTGCGTGCAGCTGTTTTTATGTAGCATTTACTGGGTAGTACCGGGGTGAATTGACGCAAATTTTGTCGAATTTGCAGCTGCAGGAGTTGCAAATTGGAAAATCAATGTTGATTTGTGTCTTTAGCAGTGTTGAGCGTGTAGAATTGCATCTGTGCGTGGAATTGGCCCTGTTACCGTGGCGGTATCGATTCACCTATGCTGGAGTCCTCATAGTTGCTCTGCAAGACAAGACATGCATTACCACTTTCATGCCCTTTCAAGGGCCTCCTCAACTCAAAATTCCTCCATTCTGGGCCTATACTGTAGACTACTACCCCTTGGCTAGGGGTTGAATGGAATATACTAGTACCAAAGGTGATACAGCTTTGTCTGAGAAGCGCCCGTCTAAACACCCTTGACCTTTGCCTTCATCTCGCTCCAGATCCCGCCTGAGACTTGCAAGGGTGGGACCAGGATGGCTGCGGGCTATTAGAAGTAGTATGACTATCGTCCACGCTGTACGTAATACCAGAAGCCATATTACGCTGTGTATCATGCAAGGGGCTGCCAACAAAGCATTGCGAGGCTGAACTGCCTGGTTGTTGGCCTCCCGGCATGCTGCATCTCCAGCCGTCAAAGAAGAAGCCATTGTTACTTTCCAGCCACGAGAAGCAGCACCGCAGTCATAATCTCGCCACTTTTTTACGTTCTCAAGACACTGAAATCAATCAGTCAAAAAGACAACCTAAGCAAGACGCACCCGTGCATGATGCGATGCGTCCACTAGACCAACTAGCACGCAAATCTGTACATACAACGCAGCCGGGAAAACTCCCCCGCGATACTAATTCCGTTCCGATGGGCGACTGCGCACGGGCCATGCGGCGTTAGGTGACTGACCCCAACCAGTGCCTATTTTTTCCTTCTCCCACACACGAAACATCATAACGGCAACTTCAAAAGAAGCTCCGAATTCTTTTTCCTTCTGCATCCGTGCAGCTCATCGCCTCTTCTCCTCCTTTTCTCCTTCCATCTCCCACGGCTCTGCCGCCTCGAACAGAAACCACCACTTCACCCGTGAGCTTCGCCAGCTTGTACAATCCATTGGACTCTCCCGTGCCGCTCGCAATTCCCCTCCCACTTGTGCATCGATTTGTTTGTCATCCCACAAGTGCCCGCAGCTCCTCCACTCGAATCGTCTCGAACTTTTCCCCTCCTTGTCGATCATCGAACAATTGTTTCTCTTGGACTAGCATTCAGCTTGTGTGTCGAGACTGTCATTTTCTACTCCTTAATTCTTCTCTTTTTCCTTGGATTGCGTTGATACCCAACTTCGACGTGATCGCTGCCCCACGATAACTTCAATTTCCCCACGCTGCTGGATCTCTCGAACATAATTTTTTTTTGGCCCGACTCCATCCTCCAATCATGGCTACCAACGGATCATTCGACCAGCCCGCGGTTACGGCTGGCCCCGCTGATGCGAGCGCTTCTGGAAACAATCTGTCCAAGGATGAGGTTGGCTGGTACTTTGTTGAGCAATACTACACTACTCTGAGCAAGTCGCCGGAAAAGCTGCATGTGAGTTTGCCGATTCGCCCCCGGTGACATTCATGCGATACTAAGACGAAATTCTGCATAGCTGTTCTACGGTAAACGATCTCAATTTGTCTCTGGACTCGAGGCCGAGGTTGCCAACGTCTCTGTTGGTCGTCAGGTAATGGCGTTTTGTTTATTTTTTTCCTCTACCCCCACTAAATAATAACCGAAGCTAATTATGTACTATAGCCGATCCAAGAGCGTATCAAGGAGCTCGACTTCCAAGACTGCAAAGTCCGAGTTTCCAATGTCGATTCACAAGCTTCATTTGACAACATTGTCATTCAGGTCATCGGCGAAATCTCAAACAAGTCTGGAGAACCCAAGAAATTCGTGCAGACTTTTGTTCTCGCTCAGCAACCTTCCGGCTACTTCGTCCTCAATGACATCCTGAGGTACATCAGCGAAGACGAGGAGGAACAGCCTGCTGTCGAGGCCGAGCTGGAGGTCCCTGCTGCCGAGCCCGAAGTGGCTGCCCCAGAGGTCCCTGCTCCCGCCGAGCCCGAGTCCGTCGAGGAGGAGCCCAAGGTGGAAGCTGTCAATGCCGACGAGGTGGACCAGAAGCTCCAGGAGGCTTCCAAGGTCAATGGTACAGATGCTGAGGAACCTGCCGTCGCTGCAGAGACCGCCGAGGCTGAGCCCGAGAAACCCGCCTCAATCGATGCTGAGACTGCTGCCAAGGAGGTTGCTGAGGAGGAGGCTAAGGAGGTTGCTGAGCTTCCCAAGGAGCCCAGTCCCACTCCCGCCAAGCCCGCTGCTCAACCCGAGGCTGCTCCTGCTGAGCCCGCCGCTCCTCCTAAGCCGATGACTTGGGCTAGCCGTGCCGCTGCCGCTGCCGGCCCCCGACCTGTTGTGCCTCTGCCCAAGACGGCCACTCCTCCCGCAGCTGGCCAAAACAAAGCTCCTGCTCCCGCAGCTGCCCCTGCCGCTGCTCAACCCGCTGCCGCTGCAGCCCCGGCAGCTACTCCTGCTGCTTCTGCCCCCTCTGCTCCCGCTGCTGACGCAGCTAAGGAGGCTTCTGGATGGCAAACTGCCGGCGCTGATTCCAAGCGCCAAAACCGACCCCAATCTATTTCAGCCAATGCAGCCGAGAAAGAGGGCACAATGGGTTATGTCAAGTACGTGACGGAGAAGGTCCAGGATGCTGATCTCCGGACCGCGTTGGCCGCTTTTGGCGAGCTGACCTACTTCGACATTAACCGTGCTAAGGTGAGTTCATTTTCCTCAAAACGACAAACTGACATGTTAGACTGGGCCTTACTGACTCGTGTATGTTAAGAACTGTGCCTTTGTGGAATACAAGACTGCTGAGGGCTATCAAGCCGCTCTGGCTGGCAAGAACCTTACTGTTAATGGCGAGAACATTGTTGTCGAGCCACGACGACCCAAGACCAGCACCTTCGGTGGCAACTACGGCGCCGGCCGAGGCAGTGCTTCGGGCCGTGGCCGTGGTGGAGCAGGAGGCCAGAATGCTAGAGGCAACTTTACCGGTCAGGTTCGCGGGCGAGGTGGTGCTGCCCGTGGCCGCGGCGGTGCCCAGGTTGCTAATGCTTAGAGAGCACATGCTGCCTTGAACGTTATATAAACAAAACGTCAGTGGTGAAGGGAAGAAAAAGCGGATATTGCATCAATGCCATGCCACAGCCAAACAAGGAGGCTAGTGGGATGGGAGTTTGAAGTTATTGCGAGATATGGAACAAAACAGAATCTGCGAATGCCAGAACGGAAGTGGAGGAAGCTTGGAGATGGGACTGGATTTGACCCAGGGCCCTCCTAAAAGTTATCTGGTCTATTTTGGAGGTGGAGTATAAGCAAGCCCAGGCTGGCGTCTATTTTTTCATTTTTTTCATCATTGTTTATTTTTTTTTTCTCATGGCA